GAACAGACGGTTTTAACTCAAATGGCACATTACCAGACAGGCGACACACAACTTTTCCATTAATCCCAGAATCTTTATCACTTACACTTATAAGAGAAATAACGGTTCCAATTTTTGCGTCCTCCGAAATTACATTTGAAAGAGATGTTACTTGTATTTCTGGTTTATTGTCATTTACATCTTCAACTTTAATAATGAGCTGACAATCACTGTTCAAAGGAGGAAGACCCTTGTCTGATGCCCTTATTATCAAACTGTAGATTTCATTTTCTTCAAAGTCAATCAAGCCTTTAACACGTATTTCGCCAGTGGCCTGGTCTAATTGAAATATCTCACGTATTTTTGGCTTCATATTTCTACCGTATGAATATTCTACTTCACCATTCGGGCCATTATCTGCATCACTTGCATTTATAATTGTCACTACAGTATCAATAATTGCATTTTCACGCAATGTTATTGTTAATGTATCACTACTGCATATGGGGCGGTTATCGTTTACATCCAAAACAACGACAGTGATATTAAGAATGCCTGATTTTGGTGGACTTCCGCCATCTACTGCAGTCAGTAGTAACCTGTGCATTTGAGTGGTTTCTCTGTCTAATGCTTTCTGTAATACTAAGAAAGGAATTTTATCTCCGTATACACTATCTTTGATTTCCAAATCAAAATGCCCATTTTTACTCAGCTGGTAAAATCGAACTGAATTAACTCCCACATCCAGATCTCGAGCAGTTTGAAGTTCAAATCGTGTTCCAGTTACAGTGTTTTCCCAAACCTCTAGATAGAAGTCTTTATCATGGAAAGATGGAGCGTGATCATTCACATCTGTTATTTCAACTTCCACATAATGGACCTCGAGAGGCTTTTCGACAACTATTTTCAAATTAATCAAGCAGGCGCTATTTCCATCACACACCTCCTCTCTGTCAATGTGCTTATCCACATACAAGATGCCATTGTTCTGATTTACCCGGAATAGAGCGTCATTCGATCCAGACACAATACGGAACCGTCTTTCCACTAATGTACTGACATCAAGACCCAAATCCTTAGCGCAATTTCCGACGACTGATTCCTCTTTCACCTCTTCTGGAACAGAGTATCTTATCTGCGTTGAACCTTGCTGCCCGAGGCTCACAAGCAAAGAGAAACACAGAGAAATCCACCAGTACTCCCATCCGCGCCTTTGTCCTCCGGCTTCCATGGCGAGTGTTTACTGCAACCGTTATTCCAATAATCAATATATGCTGGGTGATTAGTCACAATATAATATTATAGAGATCGTGCAAAACAAAATAAATCCATTGTGAATACGGTTAGCAGCCTATTACCGTTATGCTGTTCATCAGCTCGCGAATGTTTCCTGACGAATGTGACGAACAATACAGTCTGTTTCACGTCATCATCAAGGGCAGGTCTTAATATGCTCCTCAAATACTAGAGCAACAGTGACATCGAGCGGTCTACAGAAAGACAAGTCCTCAAAAACAGTTAGTTAAGCACATCAGTTGTGTAAAACAAATTAAAATAATTACATTCAGTGGCACACTAAACCTATGCTGCATCATTTTATAAATCTCAGTATGTCAACTTATGTAGACAAGTGTGTGTGAGCACAATAAAGCCACTTTTAATGTAATAAAGGCCATTCCAATGGAACCGCAAGTAATTTCAGCACCAGCGCAGCGGACAGCTCCCTCTACTTTGTCACTACTTCGAATAATAGCAAATGTTTAGACATTAAGCACATACTTTTTTTTTTTTTTTTTTTTGCAAAACAACTTCTTAACTTGCTATTACCTCATCAGTTATATGATAACATATTGTGTAGATTGTAGGTGAAAATGTATGTGTTTTTTTTTTTTTTTTTTTGTTCTTTGTTTTTCAAAAAATAAATAAATCACAATTAATTGAAAATTAATCGCCAGCCTTACCTCTCCAGAATCTCTCCTCCTGCGATCTGGTATCACTAGAGTATTCCTATTACTGCCTGGCGCTATTGTGGAGCCGATACTCATTCTGGGTCCAACTAACATGTACCGTTTGTCTCCAGATCTGTACTGGATGCTGTGACACAGAGTCCCGTCGTAATTTGTGTCTTGTAAATACTTGGACGAATAGTCTGTAGATTTAGAGCACTGCATCACAATCAACACGATGATGCTGATGACAAAAAGCACTGAAACCGAGCCCAAAGTGATGATCAGATAAAATGTCACGTCGTTTTCCTCCTCGTCTTTTACTGCGTTTTTAACATCAGAAGCTGCAAAAGCCTCTTTGGGCTCCACAACTTTGACAATCACAGTCGCTGTTGCTGAGAGTGAAACGTTCCCATTGTCTTTGACCAGTATGAGCAGTTTATGCTGGGCCTCGTCTGTTTCTGTGAATGAGCGAAGGGTTCTTATCTGTCCTGTATAGCGGTCCAAACTAAAGAGACTGTGGTCACTAACTTCCTGCAGTGAAAACAATAACCAGCCGTTGTATCCTATATCTGCGTCATAGGCTCTGACTTTAGTCACCAAATGACCAGCGTTCACATTCCGGGGAATCTCTTCCACACCCTCAGCAGAACCGTTAGCGCTGACTGGATATAAGATCACGGGAACGTTGTCGTTCTGATCCAGAATAAACACGTTCACTGTCACGTTACTGCTCAGAGACGGACTTCCAGAGTCTGTAGCGAGCACATGGAACTGGAACGTTTTTATCGTTTCAAAGTCAAAACTCTTTAGCGCGTGAATAACACCAGTCTCAGAATTAATATTCATGACAAATGCCACGTCGTTCTGTGTCCCTCCACCTCTTACGATATGATAAGTTATGGCAGCATTTTCATTAACATCTTTGTCTGAGGCACTGACAGAATATATTGAAGCGCCTGGGGGATTATTTTCAGTTAAGTAAAGCTCAAGAGGATTTGAAGAAAATTCTGGGATGTTATCATTTACATCTGACACCTGTACAAACATAGTTTTATAAGCTGACAGAGAAGGGTTACCTAAATCTGTTGCTGTTATTTTGATATCATATTCGGATACTAACTCTCGATCTAAGCGTTCTTTCGTCACAAGGGAATACATGTTATCCTGAACAGACGGTTTTAACTCAAATGGCACATTACCAGACAGGCGACACACAACTTTTCCATTAATCCCAGAATCTTTATCACTTACACTTATAAGAGAAATAACGGTTCCAATTTTTGCGTCCTCCGAAATTACATTTGAAAGAGATGTTACTTGTATTTCTGGTTTATTGTCATTTACATCTTCAACTTTAATGATAAGCTGACAATCACTGTTCAAAGGAGGAAGACCCTTGTCTGATGCCCTTATTATCAAACTGTAGATTTCATTTTCTTCAAAGTCAATCAAGCCTTTAACACGTATTTCACCAGTGGCCTGGTCTAATTGAAATATCTCACGTATTTTTGGCTTCATATTTCTACCGTATGCATATTCTACTTCACCATTCGGACCATTATCTGCATCAGTTGCATTTATAATTGTCACTACAGTATCAATAATCGCATTTTCACGCAATGTTATTGTTAATGTATCACTACTGCATATGGGGCGGTTATCGTTTACATCCAAAACAAAGACAGTGATATTAAGAATGCCTGATTTTGGTGGACTTCCGCCATCTACTGCAGTCAGTAGTAACCTGTGCATTTGAGTGGTTTCTCTGTCTAATGGTTTCTGTAATACTAAAAAAGGGGTTTTATCTCCGTATACACTATCTTTGATTTCCAAATCAAAATGCCCATTTTTACTCAGCTGGTAAAATCGAACTGAATTAACTCCCACATCCAGATCTCGAGCAGTTTGAAGTTCAAATCGTGTTCCAGTTACAGTGTTTTCCGCAACCTCTAGATAGAAGTCTTTATCATGGAAAGATGGAGCGTGATCATTCACATCTGTTATTTCAACTTCCACATAATGGACCTCGAGAGGCTTTTCGACAACTATTTTCAAATTAATCAAGCAGGCGCTATTTCCATCACACACCTCCTCTCTGTCAATGTGCTTATCCACATACAAGATGCCATTGTTCTGATTCACCCGGAATAGAGCGTCATTCGATCCAGACACAATACGGAACCGTCTTTCCACTAATGTACTGACATCAAGACCCAAATCCTTAGCGCAATTTCCGACGACTGATTCCTCTTTCACCTCTTCTGGAACAGAGTATCTTATCTGCGCTGAACCTTGCTGCCCGAGGCTCACAAGCAAAGAGAAACACAGAGAAATCCACCAGTACTCCCATCCGCGCCTTTGTCCTCCGGCTTCCATGGCGAGTGTTAACTGCACCGTTATTCCAATAATCAATATATGCTGGGTGATTAGATGTCACAATATAATATTATAGAGATCGTGCAAAACAAAGTAAATCCATTGTGAATACGGTTAGCAGCCTATTACCGTTATGCTGTTCATCAGCTCGCGAATGTTTCCTGACGAATGTGACGAACAATACAGTCCGTTTCACGTCATCATCAAGGGCAGGTCTTAATATGCTCCTCAAATACTAGAGCAACAGTGACATCGAGCGGTCTACAGAAAGACAAGTCCTCAAAAACAGTTAGTTAAGCACACCAGTTGTGTAAAACAACTTAAAATAATTACATTCAGTGGCACACTAAACCTATGCTGCATCATTTTATAAATCTCAGAAATAACACCCAAAAGCACCTTATGTAGACAAGTGTGTGTGAGCACAATAAAGCCACTTTTAATGTAATAAAGGCCATTCCAAGGGAACCGCAAGTAATTTCAGCACCAGCGCAGCGGACAGCTCCCTCTACTTTGTCACTACTTCGAATAATAGCAAATGTTTAGACATTAAGCACATAGTTTTTTTTCTTCTTTTTTTTTTGCAAAAAAACTTCTTAACTTGCTATTACCTCATCAGTTATATGATAACATATTGTGTAGATTGTAGGTGAAAATGTATGTGTTTTTTTTTTGTGTTTTTTTGTTCTTTGTCTTTCAAAAAAAAAAAAAAATCACAATCAATTGAAAATTAATCGCCAGCCTTACCTCTCCAGAATCTCTCCTCCTGCGATCTGGTATCACTAGAGTATTCCTATTACTGCCTGGCGCTATTGTGGAGCCGATACTCATTCTGGGTCCAACTAACATGTACCGTTTGTCTCCAGATCTGTACTGGATGCTGTGACACAGAGTCCCGTCGTAATTTGTGTCCTGTAAATACTTGGACGAATAGTCTGTAGATTTAGAGCACTGCATCACAATCAACACGATGATGCTGATGACAAAAAGCACTGAAACCGAGCCCAAAGTGATGATCAGATAAAATGTCACGTCGTTTTCCTCCTCGTCTTTTACTGCGTTTTTAACATCAGAAGCTGCAAAAGCCTCTTTGGGCTCCACAACTTTGACAATCACAGTCGCTGTTGCTGAGAGTGAAACGTTCCCATTGTCTTTGACCAGTATGAGCAGTTTATGCTGGGCCTCGTCTGTTTCTGTGAATGAGCGAAGGGTTCTTATCTGTCCTGTATAGCGGTCCAAACTAAAGAGACTGTGGTCACTAACTTCCGGCAGTGAAAACAATAACCAGCCGTTGTATCCTATATCTGCGTCATAGGCTCTGACTTTAGACACCAAATGACCAGCGTTCACATTCCGGGGAATCTCTTCCACACCCTCAGCAGAACCGTTAGCGCTGACTGGATATAAGATCACTGGAACGTTGTCGTTTTGATCCAGAATAAACACGTTCACTGTCATGTTACTACTAAGTGGAGGAGTTCCTGAATCCCTTGCAACAACTTGGAAATTAAACTTTTTAATTACTTCGAAGTCAAAACGGTTTAAGGCGTAAATTACCCCCGTTTCAGAGTTAATGTTAAAAAATGAGGCCATATCATTTTGTGCAGCATCCCCTCTAATAATATAGTACGTAATCATTGCGTTTTCATTTAAATCTTTATCGGATGCGCTCACAGACAGTATGGAGGCACCAGCTGCGTTATTTTCTACTAAATATAGTTCAAGCGGATTTTGAGAAAATTCAGGACTGTTATCATTAACATCTGATACCTGCACGCTCATAGATTTAAAAGAGGATAAAGGCGGCTGTCCTAAATCAGTGACTGTTATTGTTATGTCATAATGGGACACGAGTTCTCGATCCAGTTTTCCTTTCGTTACAAGGGAATAAATATTCTCTTGAATAGATGGTTTCAGTTCAAAAGGAACACTATCAGAAATACTTGGTACAACCTTCCCATTTATACCAGAGTCCCTGTCACTGATGCTAATCAATGAAATTACAGTGCCAGGTTTAGAATCCTCAGAAACAACACTGGAAAGCGAGGTTAAGTCTATTTCAGGCGCGTTATCATTTATGTCTATTATTTTAATATTAACGACAGATTCAACGATCCATGGAGGCTGGCCTTTATCTGATGCCTGTACGTCTAATTTGTACACCTCTGTTTCCTCAAAGTCCAGTTCACCTTTAATCTGAATTTCTCCTGTTGCACGATCCAGTTTAAATAGATCGTAAACTTTGCGCTTCAAGTTCCTTCCAAATGCGTATTCTACAACACCATTTGAACCCTCATCCAAGTCAGTTGCGTTAAGTTTTATCAATACTGTTCCGATTGCAGCATTTTCTTTCACTGTTACAGAATATGAATCTTGACTGAACACAGGACGGTTATCATTAACATCAAGAACAGTAACAATTATGTTAAGATTTCCTGACCGTGGTGGATTTCCACCATCGATTGCAGTTAGAATTAATCTATGCTCCGCTGCGTTTTCCCGGTCAAGTGCTTTCTTTAAAACTAAAAGCGGTATTTTTTCCTCATCTCTATCCTTTGTCTCAACTTCGAAATGCTCATTCTGACTTAATTTATACGACCGGACATTATTTACTGTCGTATCAGCATCTCGTGCTGCCTGTATTTGGAAACGTGTCCCTGTGGGTGTGTGTTCCGCAATCTCAAAATGCTGCTCCTCTTCTGTAAATGTGGGTGAGTTGTCATTAACATCGATTATCTGTACTCCAACGTAATGTATTTCCAAGGGATCTTCGACTACCATTTTTAAATTAATCAAGCAGGCGCCATTTCCATCACACAGCTCCTCTCTGTCAATGTTCTTATGGACATATAAGACGCCATTATTTTGATTTACCTGAAAAAGAGCATCCTTTGATCCAGACACGATACGCAATCTCCTGTTAGCTAAATTGCGGACATCAAGGCCAAGGTCCTTAGCAATATGTCCAACAACGGATCCTTCTTTCAATTCCTCTGGGATAGAATATCTTATCTGCGCTGAAACCTGCTGTCCAAAACACAGAAGCAAGGAGAAAAACAAAGCAATCCACCAATACTCCCATCTGCGCCTTTGTTCTCTACTGGCTTCCATGGCGAACGATTACAGAGACACGGACAGAAATATATCCTTGGCGATTTCGAACAACAGTAGGGCGATATCATATAATTTGTAATGAAAAATATTTAAACGAAAACCTTAATAAACACGGAGGACAGATCGCATACCTAAACGCCTTTCCAAGATCGCACCATCCCCATGGATGAGGACTATACAACGTGCGTGTCATCATTATGGGCCGGACTTAAAACAGGAAAACCAAAATTAGAGCAACACTGACACCGAGTGGAGCATTAGACCTTTCAAGTCAGCTCGTTATTATTTTCAATTTGCAGAACTATATATATATATATATATATATATATGGGAATCAATTATTGTAATGAGAATAAATGTCTTAGCATGCTTCACGTTGCTTCAAATAAAGCGACAAACAGCTCATCTCCAAAATAAAATAAAATAAATAATAAATAATACTCAACACATTGAGTTTGATGGAGTGTGACGAAAACCCCTTAAAGAGGATTTTTGTGAAAACGTCTGCAAACCGCAATAAATTATTCACAATAATATGAATACAATAATACAATAATAAAAATATAAACCCCAATTAAAATCTTCAAAAATACTTTACAAAACTCCTTAACTTCAGAATCTCTCCTCCTCCTCCTCCTCGACACCAAGTGTTTAAAAATATCACCCACAGTTATAATACTTATTTTATGTTTAAATATTTCAGTTATTTAAAGTTTACATCTGTTCAGTAGTTTGACGACTTATAGTGATGCTTTTTAAAATGTTCTCATAACATGTAAAAGTCGTTTAAGCATTTTATGTCACAGAAATTACATATTTGAGATGAAGCCTATTCTAAAGGAATTCCATCTACTTTCAGCACCAAAGCAGCGAACAGCTCCCTGCAAGCTGCGGTTATTACAACACGATCAGAAAATCAAAGCTGTCAAACAAGGTACGTTAACTAACGAGATTTTGTGCTGTGACATCATAACTGTATAAAAGCATACAATTTTCAATTATAACGTATACAAATATCAAACCAACACAGTGATTGTAATTATAATGAACTGATTATTCTTACCTCTCCAGAATCTCTCCTCCTGCGATCTGGTATCACTAGAGTATTCCTATTACTGCCTGGCGCTATTGTAGAGCCGATACTCATTCTGGGTCCAACTAACATGTACCGTTTGTCTCCAGATCTGTACTGGATGCTGTGACACAGAGTCCCGTCGTAATTTGTCTCCTGTAAATACTTGGACGAATAGTCTGTAGATTTAGAGCACTGCATCACAATCAACACGATGATGCTGATGACAAAAAGCACTGAAACCGAGCCCAAAGTGATGATCAGATAAAATGTCACGTCGTTTTCCTCCTCGTCTCTTACTGCGTTTTTAACATCAGAAGCTGCAAAAGCCTCTTTGGGCTCCACAACTTTGACAATCACAGTCGCTGTTGCTGAGAGTGAAACGTTCCCATTGTCTTTGACCAGTATGAGCAGTTTATGCTGGGCCTCGTCTGTTTCTGTGAATGAGCGAAGGGTTCTTATCTGTCCTGTATAGCGGTCCAAACTAAAGAGACTGTGGTCACTAACTTCCTGCAGTGAAAACAATAACCAGCCGTTGTATCCTATATCTGCGTCATAGGCTCTGACTTTAGTCACCAAATGACCAGCGTTCACATTCCGGGGAATCTCTTCCACACCCTCAGCAGAACCGTTAGCGCTGACTGGATATAAGATCACGGGAACGTTGTCGTTCTGATCCAGAATAAACACGTTCACTGTCACGTTGCTGCTCAGAGACGGACTTCCAGAGTCTGTGGCGAGCACATGGAACTGGAACGTTTTAAGAGTTTCAAAATCAAAACTTTTTAGTGCATAAATAATACCCGTTTCTGAATTAATATTTAGAAAAGGTGTCAAATCGCCTTGATTTAGGTTATATGTTATTGCAGCATTTTCGTTTAAGTCTTTATCAAAAGCAGTGACAGAGAATATAGAAGCACCAGGGGCATTGTTTTCAGATAAATAAAGCTCAATTTTGTTTTGGGTAAACTGTGGGGAGTTATCATTTACATCAGAGACCTGTATATTTAATCTTTTAAAAGAAGACAAAGGTGGCTGTCCTAAGTCAGTGGCTGTTACAGTGATCTCATAGCTTGAAGTAACTTCTCTATCTAAACGCCCCTTTGTTACTAATGAATAAATATTCTCTTTAAATGACGATTTCAGCTCAAATGGCATATTTTCGGGTAATGTACAAATGACTCTGCCATTGACACCGGAGTCCTTGTCTGAAACACTGATTAAGGCTATGGCCGTTCCAGGATTTGCATTTTCAGATATAACACTAGAAAGTGAGGTTATCTCAATTTCAGGAGAGTTATCATTAACATCTGTGACTTTAATGTTGAGTTCTGCTTCAGTTATAAGTGGAGGCTGGCCTTTATCTGATGCCTGCACATCTAATTTAAAGACATCAGTTTCCTCAAAGTCTATGTTCCCTTTAACTTGTAATTTGCCCGTGTTCTTGTCAAGCTTAAACAGGTCGTGGATTTTCCCATCCAAATTTTCGCCTAACGAGTACTCGATGTCCCCATTTATTCCATCATCTAAATCAGTTGCGTTTATTTTAATTACGACAGTGCCAAGAGGTGCATTTTCCAGGATTGTTGCAGAATATGAGTCGCGGCTAAAGACTGGTCGATTGTCATTTATATCTAGAACAATAACAGAGATGTTCAGAGTCCCTGATTTCGGTGGATTTCCACCATCTGTGGCTGTTAATGTGAATCTATGCTTGCTTTGCCTTTCTCTGTCCAGCGCTTTCTTTAAAACTAAAAATGGTATTTTTGTTGCATGCCTTTCTCGAATGTCAATATCAAACAGCTCATTCTGACTTAATTTATAATATCGAACCGTATTCATTCCCAGATCAGGATCTCTGGCAGTTTGGACTTGAAAACGCGTTCCCAAAAGCGTATGCTCTGCTATTTCAAATTGCTGCTCAGATCTCGGGAAAATGGGTGGATTATCGTTTACATCAGTTATTTCAACTTCTATGTAATGCACCTCTAAGGGGTCTTCAACAACGCATTTCAAACTTATCGAACAAACAGTGTTTCCATCACACAGCTTCTCTCTGTCGATTCTCTTATTGACATACAGTTCCCCATTGTTCTGATTTACCTGGAAAAGCGCATCATCAGGTCCAGAAACAATACGAAACCGCCGGTGCGCCAAATTACTGACATCAAGGTTTAAATCCTTAGCAATATTCCCCACAACAGATCCTTCTTTCATTTCCTCCGGGACATTGTATTTTATCTGTGCACAAACCAGATTCCCGAAGCACGACAGCAAAGAAAGAGTAATCCACCAGCTCGGCCGTCTGCTCCATTGTCCTCCGACGTCCATCGCAAAGAAAGATATATTTTAATAATTTCGGATTACAAATGCTCTTCTCACGACAACACTATTTTTTCCAATTCTAATCTCTGATATCATGTGCATTATCAAAAACGACATACGATGAAAATATTAGTTACCACTGCTTTGAACGCAGTTATGCTGACCCTTCTCTCTGCACAAAACACGGTTGTGTTTCTCAGCTGACGCCTGATGGGGAAGGGCTTGCTTCAAGACAGTAACCTAGAGTAACACTGACACCATGTGGAGTGGATTTGTTTTTGCAAAAAAAAAAAAAAAAATCTACAATCACGCAATTGAAAAGGACATAGGTCTTTAAAAATACCTCTTTATTTTATCAGTGGTCACCGCATGGCCGTCAAAACAGAAATGATTGTTATAATCCCTCCTCACAAAAATACAGATACAATGAAAAATAAAATTAGTGTAGAAAGAATATTCGGTACCACATTATTTGAAGGGGTGTGCATAAGACTGACATGACACTTTCATAATCATGACATAACACGTCATGAATAGGAAGGAGGTTTTATGCATGTTTATGACAACTGTCATTAAGTGTCATTCGCTCAATTATGTAATTTTTAATGCAAATATGACATTGTTTGAGATGTCTTTGTTATGACAACTTGACATAAACCAATACATCATAACCTGTCAGTGTCTTGGTAATAACAACTTGACATTATCAAGACAACATAAATTGTCATACATATGTCATAAACATGACATAGCAGCTTAATTATCAAATTTAAGAAACCACTTAGCTTTATGGGTTAACATTATATTAAACTGTCATGTGGTTGGTTTTGACATTGGCTGTCATGAGGCCATTATAACTGTGTCATGAATATTTTTCTTGACCTCAACTACAGTCGTACAAATTGAATTTGTCATTAAAATGTTTAATGGCCTCATGACAGCCAATGTCAAAACCAACCACCTGACAGTTTAATGTAATGTTAACCCATAAAGCTAAGTGGTTTCTTAAGTTTGATAATTAATCTGCTATGTCATGTTTATGACATATTAATGACAGGTTGTGTTGTCTTAGTAATGTCAAGTTGTCATGACAAAGACACTGACAGGTTATGATGTATTAGTTTATGTCAAGGCGTCATAACAAAGACATCTCAAACAATGTCATATTTACATTAAAAATGTCACTGAGCAAATGACACTTAATGACAGTTGTCAAAACATGCATAAAACCTCCTTCAAATTCATGACATGTCATGTCATTATTATGAAGGTGTCATGTCAGTCTTATGCACACCCCTTCAAGTAAAGCGTTACCGAATATTCACTCAGAAATTTATAAAAAATATTCCTTGTAATTGATTGTTAAATTGAGTAGAAAGACTGAAATAGTATTCTTAAAAACACGTATTCCAATCATCTGTTTTATTTACTATTTCGAAAAATCCTTATATACAGTGCACTTAAACTTTTTATATTCTTAGACCATATGTGACACCCTGGCTAAAACGGATGTTAATAATATTTGATAATTTATTAAAAGAGAAAATATTTCTGTGGTCATATGTGTCTCTCAAATCCACCTTTACGTAAACAAAAAAACATATCCCAATTGTTCTTTAATGAACATGTTCAGCCATTCCAAAACAAAACATGAAAAGACAACAAAAGTTTCATAGATAAAACTAAATAAAACTGTTCAAAAGGAATAAATCCGCCAGCCTTACCTCTCCAGAATCTCTCCTCCTGCGATCTGGTATCACTAGAGTATTCCTATTACTGCCTGGCGCTATTGTAGAGCCGATACTCATTCTGGGTCCAACTAACATGTACCGTTTGTCTCCAGATCTGTACTGGATGCTGTGGCACAGAGTTCCGTCGTAATTTGTCTCCTGTAAAAACTTGGACGAATAGTCTGTAGATTTAGAGCACTGCATCACAATCAACACGATGATGCTGATGACAAAAAGCACTGAAACCGAGCCCAAAGTGATGATCAGATAAAATGTCACGTCGTTTTCCTCCTCGTCTTTTACTGCGTTTTTAACATCAGAAGCTGCAAAAGCCTCTTTGGGCTCCACAACTTTGACCATCACAGTCGCTGTTGCTGAGAGTGAAACGTTCCCATTATCTTTGACCAGTATGAGCAGTTTATGCTGGGCCTCGTCTGTTTCTGTGAATGAGCGAAGGGTTCTTATCTGTCCTGTATAGCGGTCCAAACTAAAGAGACTGTGGTCACTAACTTCCTGCAGTGAAAACAATAACCAGCCGTTGTATCCTATATCTGCGTCATAGGCTCTGACTTTAGTCACCAAATGACCAGCGTTCACATTCCGGGGAATCTCTTCCACACCCTCAGCAGAACCGTTAGCGCTGACTGGATATAAGATCACTGGAACGTTGTCGTTCTGATCCAGAATAAACACGTTTACTGTCACGTTACTGCTCAGAGACGGACTTCCAGAGTCTTTAGCGAGCACATGGAACTGGAACTTTTTGGTAGTTTCAAAATCAAAACTTTTAAGTGCATAAATTGCGCCTGTCTCTGAATTCGTGTTTAAAAACGATGTCATGTCACTTTGTGTCCCATTCCCTTTAATAATCTGATATGAAATCACAGAGTTTTCATTTAGGTCTTTGTCAAAAGCACTCAGTGTGAGAATGGGCGCGCCTGCAGCATTGTTTTCAATCATATATAATTCGATAGGATTTATGCTAAATTCAGGTGGGTTATCATTAACATCGGACACCTGCACGCTCAGAGTTTTAAAGGAGGACAGTGGAGGCTGACCCAAGTCGGTCGCTGTTATTGTAATTTCATAATGTGATACAGTTTCACGATCCAGGACCCCTTTAGTCACTAAGGAGTACATGTTGTCCTGAACTGATGGTTTTACTTCAAATGGAACATTTTCTGAGAGAGTACACACAACTTTTCCGTTAACACCAGTGTCTCTGTCAGTAACACTAATGAGTGAGATTACAGTACCAGACTTGGAATCTTCAGGCACGATCTTCGATAATGACGTCACTTCTATGGTCGGCTTATTATCATTTATGTCAAGTATTTTTAAAATGACTCTACAGTCAGTGGTCAAAGGCGGTTGCCCATTGTCAGATGCCTGTATATCCAACTTATAAACATTATTCTTTTCAAAGTCTACCTCTCCTATAACACGAATTTCACCTGTTAATCTATCCAAGCTAAAAATATTCTGGTTGTTAGCCCCTCCAAAGGTATAAGTCACTTCACCATTTGGACCGTGATCAGAATCACTTGCAAGAATTTTCATTACCAAAGTTCCATTTTGCACGTTTTCATGCAGTGTTGAGGAATAAACATCTTGACTAAATACAGGGCGGTTGTCATTCACATCAAGAACAAGTACTGTTATGTTTAGTGATCCTGACCTTGGCGGATTGCCACCATCTATTGCTGTTAAAATTATATTGTGTTCAGCTTTGTGCTCACGGTCAAGGGGCTTTTGTAAAACCAGAAAAGGCAGTTTATCTTCTGCCCTGTCTCTTATTTCTAAATCAAAATGCTCGTTTTGACTTAATTTATACAAACGCACAGAATTCACTCCACTGTCAGGGTCATTCGCAGCTTGCAGCTGAAAACGCGTTCCTTGAAACGTGTGTTCTGAAATTTCTAATATCTTTTCTTTTTCTGTGAATGTAGGGGCGTGATCATTTACATCATTTATCTCAACGGCAATATAATGGATCTCGAGTGGATTTTCCACCACTATTTTAAGGTTAATCAAGCATGCTCCAATACTATCACACAGCTCCTCTCTGTCAATTTTCCTTTGAACATTTAAGACACCATTGTTCTGATTTACCACGAAAAGCGCTTCATCTGATCCAGACACGATACGGAACCGTCTGTCCATCAAAGTGCTTGCATCAAGTCCCAAATCCTTGGCGATATTTCCTACAACATATCCCTCTTTGACCTCCTCTGGAATAGAGTATCTTATTTGAGCTGAAAGCTGCTGCCCAAAGCACAGAAGAAAACAGATAATCATCCATTTGTGCTCCCCTTTGCACCTTTGTCTTCCAGCATCCATTTCGAACGATAGCGAAATCCAGAAGTAAATGCCACTACCTGGTTCTATTATAAATAGCCTATAGATTCATATTAACCGAACAAGCAAAAGTGAAGGACGAAAAGGCATTACGCAGTTCTGTCTTTGTCTGTCTTCAAACAAATATCATCCTCCTTTTGCGTTGAACAACCAGCAAATGCAAACTAGAATTTGGGGGGCAGGGCGAATAGACGCTTTCCCTGTACAACAATGACACCATGAGGTTTGTGAAGAATGACACAGATAAGCAAAAACTATATACGAAGCCGGAAATAACGAATAAAGACGTGTTGTTCTCATTATCAAGAACTAAAGCGATCTTGCACGCGACTTTACTTGTGTATTAAGTCTGTGGAAATGTTGTATTATAAAAACAAACAACAGCAACCCCAACCATCATAATTAACTAATAATCAACAGGAAATTTACCTAATTTAAATTAGATCAGTTTAGTTCAATTTATTAAATCAAACAGATTGCATGCCATGCCATCATTTCCTTCTAGAAACTTTACCATGGAAAATCTTTTTTTGCTATTTCTAAAAACACGTTTATCAGATAATTTTTTTCATCGATCTATTGAAATTATTCGTGGAACATTTTTAAGAACATATCGTTAGCTTGAATATCAAGGAACTAAACCCGTCATGTGTATTTATATGTCATGCTGAAAGAGCAATAAGTGCCCACCTGCGTTTTCTTGAAAATGTAAAAGGTTTTTTTTTTTATTATTAGCCCTATATTTTATAAACAAATAAAACAGCCATGCAAAAACAAAGCATACAATTATAACGAGCAAGGGGAGACCGTCATATGCAAGTGACAAATGTTTAAAAACATTTGAATTCACCCCTTAGAAAAATTCCCAATGAATTGCATCTCATTTCAGCACCAAAGCAGAGAACAGCTCCTATCGAGCTGTTACAATACGATCAGACAAAGTTGTCAAAGTACTGAACAAGTTTTGTGTAATGACATAACAAATCTGTAAAAGCATAGCATTTTGCAGAAATTACAATTATAACGAATAATAAAAAAAAATATCAAAGCAAAACGGTGACCGGTAATTATAATTAACTGGTTATTCTTACCTCTCCAGAATCTCTCCTCCTGCGATCTGGTATCACTAGAGTATTCCTATTACTGCCTGGCGCTATTGTAGAGCCGATACTCATTCTGGGTCCAACTAACATGTACCGTTTGTCTCCAGATCTGTACTGGATGCTGTGACACAGAGTCCCGTCGTAATTTGTCTCCTGTAAATACTTGGACGAATAGTCTGTAGATTTAGAGCACTGCATTACAATCAACACGATGATGCTGATGACAAAAAGCACTGAAACCGAGCCCAAAGTGATGATCAGATAAAATGTCACGTCGTTTTCCTCTTCGTCTTTTACTGTGTTTTTAACATCAGAAGCTGCAAAAGCCTCTTTGGGCTCCACAACTTTGACAATCACAGTCGCTGTTGCTGAGAGTGAAACGTTCCCATTGTCTTTGACCAGTATGAGCAGTTTATGCTGGGTCTCGTCTGTTTCTGTGAATGAGCGAAGGGTTCTTATCTGTCCTGTATAGCGGTCCAAACTAAAGAGACTGTGGTCACTAACTTCCTGCAGTGAAAACAATAACCAGCCGTTGTATCCTATATCTGCGTCATAGGCTCTGACTTTAGTCACCAAATGACCAGCGTTCACATTCCGGTGAATCTCTTCCACACCCTCAGCAGAACCGTTAGCGCTGACTGGATATAAGATCACAGGAACGTTGTCGTTCTGATCCAGAATAAACACGTTCACTGTCACGTTACTGCTCAGAGACGGACTTCCAGAGTCTGTAGCGAGCACATGGAACTGGAACATTTTTACTGTTTCAAAGTCGAAACTTTTAAGCGCGTGTATATGTCCATTGTCTGAGTTTACATTAAGGAAGGACGACATGTGACTTTTTGTTCCATCTTCTCTAATTATTTGATAGGTAATTGCTGCATTTTCATTCATGTCTTTGTCGAAGGCGCTAACAGAGTATATGAATGCTCCTGGAGGGTTATTTTCCATTAAATACAGTTCTAAAGGATTGTGAGGAAATTCTGGAACGTTATCGTTCACATCTGATATCTGCACTTTCAGTGTTTTGATAGAGGACAGAGGAGGCTGACCAAGATCTGTGGCTGTTATTGTGACATCATATCGAGAAACGAGCTCTCTATCCAACTTTGCATTCGTCACAAGAGAGTACATATTTTCTTTGAATGACGGCTTCAGTTCAAAAGGAACGTTGTCAGATATTCTACAAACAACTTTGCCATTGACGCCAGAATCTTTATCAGTAATACTAACAAGAGAAATGACCGTTCCTGGTTTGGAATCTTCGGGAACTAAGTCAGACAGTGAGGTAACTTCTATCTCTGGTCCATTGTCATTTTCGTCAATCATTTTAATGATAATTCTACAGTTGCTTGTTTTCGGTGGTTGGCCTTTATCTGACGCCATAACACCGAACCTATAAACATTATTTTTCTCAAAATCCAAATTGCCCTTCACCGTAATCCCACCAGAGTTGTCCAAATCAAAGGTGTCGTAAACCTGTTTTTCGATATTCTTAGCAAATGAATAAACAATTTCGCCATTCTGACCTTCATCTAAATCAGTGGCATTTAATTTAATGACAACAGTACCAACAGACGCGTTTTCTTGCAATGTTACAGAATAAAGTTCTTGACTGAATTTTGGCCTGTTGTCATTGTCATCCAGCACCGTGACATTAATAACGATGCTCCCTGATCGTGGCGGATTCCCACCGTCAACAGCAGTCAGTATAAGACTGTGAGTTACCTGACGCTCCCTGTCAAGTAATTTACGCAATTTCAAGACAGGGACTTTTTTCTCTCCCCCATTTTCACGAAACTCAAGTTCAAAAAAGTCGGTTTGGCTCAGTTTATAAAAACGAACAGAATTCACGCCTGCATCAGGGTCCTGTGCTTCCTGCAATTGAAAGTCCTCACCCGGTAGGGTTGATTCTGCTATTTCTAAAAGCACGTCTTTATAAGCAAAATTGGGTGCATGATCATTTACATCGGTAATTTCTACTTCTACATAATGAATTTCAAGTGGATTTTCAACAACTGTTTTTAGACTTATCAAACAAGCATCTGTTCCATCACACAGCGCCTCTCTGTCGATTTGCTTTTCCACATACAAGATGCCATTGTTCTGATTTACCTGAAAAAGGGCGTCATTTGATCCAGAAACAATTCGAAACCGTCTGTCCATCAAAGCACTGACATCAAGGCCCAAATCCTTAGCAATATTACCCACAATCGATCCCTCTTTGACCTCCTCTGGAACAGAGTATTTTATCTGAGCTGAAACCTGCTGTCCGAGGCATATTAGCAAATAGAAACACAGAGAAATCCACCAGTACTCCCATCGGCGCCTTTGTTCTCCAGCATCCATGCTGAAAACCGTCGCCTGAGGAACACGTCCCGTGTAAATTTATTCTCCTTACAATTACCGTATAAATCTATTTAAATGCTTCGAGGAAGAATTTGAGAACATCTTTTGCTCGAGTATCGACGAATATGTCCAGACTAAAAGAGTAGTCAGTGCGCTCTAGCCTGGGTTAAAACCCAGTGTGACGCAAACCAAATCCCTGACACAAACAACGTTTCCTTGTGTAATACTGACACCATGAGGTCCACTGCAACATGCCAATATTTTAAACACATCTCATGCACTTATACTATAGCATTAAGGCAGAGAGCAAATGTTTGAATAATTTTGCAGATATGATTTTATTAAATTAATATTAATATATAGTACATATGCCTGACCTCTAAAAAATATACAATATAAATATGCATACTCTCTCATTATAAATTATATATATATATATATATATATATATATATATATATATATATATATATATAATCTCTTTCTATATGCCTTCATATACATATACATACATGCATATATATGAAATAAAACCTTAAAATTCAAAAGGTCACAAAGCTAATTTCAGCACCACGGACAGTTCCGCACGAATCAATAGCTATGACAAGTAAGATTTATTATTAAAAATTATCAAGAAAAACTTTAACTTGTACATGAACAATGAGTTCGGAGAACGGAAATGTATTGTGTAAAAACAAAGTACACAGTGGAGTTGTGTAAATAACTATCTTTTTGTCTAAGAACAAATTAGTCAAATTATGATCATATATAGGCCTAATATACATATATAATATAACTGCGTCTGCGATGTAAGACTTTTTTTTATAAGAGTAAATTCAATGGCATTCAATCAGCCCCAGATATCACAAACGAATGTTGCAGAGAGACTGTAAGTAGTGCAGATCTTACCGAGTTTAGATATTCAGTAAAAAAAAAAAAAAAGTAAAAATCATATAAAAAAAACCAGTATTTCCATCACTGCCCGGGATTATAGTAGAACTGATCCCGGGTCCAACTAACATGTACCTTTTGCTGTGACAGAGTTCACCTGAGTCCAATAAAATAATTTTAAATATTCTTAATATTGTCACAACTGATGAAGACAGACGCGGCTCGAGGATGAATCAACACAAAACTTTAATGATGAAACTTCAAAAATACAACTCAGGAATGTAAGGATATGTACGCCAGTATCCAAACAGGTAACTTAGCTTGATAATAACACTGATGCAGTTTCCAGGACTGAGGAAGATTTCGAGACTGTCGAGTGGAAATGGAGGACAATGAAGACCGTGGGGAACAGGAGTGCAGGTAATTAGTCAGGTAAGTCACAGGTAGGAGCAATGAGACCAGACAATGGGTGCTTGTGGGGTGATGGTTTATGGCAGTCCTTGATGAGTGACAACAGGTGGAGGTGATCAGAACTCTGGGAAGTATGGGAGGAGCTGAGGAGTCTAGCGCTGAGGGGTTGCATGAATTCGTGACAAATTATTATATTCCAACAATGATTAGAAGAGAGAATAGTTCTGTTCCACTACAGAGATTCATACAGCAACATACAAAATCTGTCACAAATCTACCTTGACATAAAAAGCCCAATATGTTATAAACAATAAAAACAGCCATGCCAAAACAAAGCCTGAAAAGTCAACATGAGCAAGGAGAGAAGGACACGCCAAAGAACATTCAAAGAGTGCAAAAATAATAAATCCGCCAGCCTTACCTCTCCAGAATCTCTCCTCCTGCGATCTGGTATCACTAGAGTATTCCTATTACTGCCTGGCGCTATTGTGGAGCCGATACTCATTCTGGGTCCAACTAACATGTACCGTTTGTCTCCAGATCTGTACTGGATGCTGTGACACAGAGTCCCGTCGTAATTTGTCTCCTGTAAATACTTGGACGAATAGTCTGTAGATTTAGAGCACTGCATCACAATCAACACGATGATGCTGATGACAAAAAGCACTGAAACCGAGCCCAAAGTGATGATCAGATAAAATGTCACGTCGTTTTCCTCCTCATCTTTTACTGTGTTTTTAACATCAGAAGCTGCAAAAGCCTCTTTGGGCTCCACAACTTTGACAATCACAGTCGCTGTTGCTGAGAGTGAAACGTTCCCATTGTCTTTGACCAGTATGAGCAGTTTATGCTGGGTCTCGTCTGTTTCTGTGAATGAGCGAAGGGTTCTTATCTGTCCTGTATAGCGGTCCAAACTAAAGAGATTGTGGTCACTAACTTCCGGCAGTGAAAACAATAACCAGCCGTTGTATCCTATATCTGCGTCATAGGCTCTGACTTTAGTCACCAAATGACCAGCGTTCACATTCCGGGGAATCTCTTCCACACCCTCAGCAGAACCGTTAGCGCTGACTGGATATAAGATCACTGGAACGTTGTCGTTCTGATCCAGAATAAACACGTTCACTGTCACGTTACTGCTCAGAGACGGACTTCCAGAGTCTGTAGCGAGCACATGGAACTGGAACATTTTTACTGTTTCAAAGTCGAAACTTTTAAGCGCGTGTATATGTCCATTGTCTGAGTTTACATTAAGGAAGGACGACATGTGACTTTTTGTTCCATCTTCTCTAATTATTTGATAGGTAATTGCTGCATTTTCATTCATGTCTTTGTCGAAGGCGCTAACAGAGTATATGAATGCTCCTGGAGGGTTATTTTCCATTAAATACAGTTCTAAAGGATTGTGAGGAAATTCTGGAACGTTATCGTTCACATCTGATATCTGCACTTTCAGTGTTTTGATAGAGGACAGAGGAGGCTGACCAAGATCTGTGGCTGTTATTGTGACATCATATCGAGAAACGATCTCTCTATCCAACTTTGCATTCGTCACAAGAGAGTACATATTTTCTTTGAATGACGGCTTCAGTTCAAAAGGAACGTTGTCAGATATTCTACAAACAACTTTGCCATTGACGCCAGAATCTTTATCAGTAATACTAACAAGAGAAATGACCGTTCCTGGTTTGGAATCTTCGGGAACTAAGTCAGACAGGGAGGTAACTTCTATCTCTGGTCCATTATCATTTTCGTCAATCACTTTAATTATAATTCTACAGTTGCTTGTCTTCGGTGGCTGGCCTTTATCTGACGCTATAACACTAATTCTATAAACATCGTTTTTCTCAAAATCCACATTGCTTTTCACCCGAATTTCTCCTGTATTACTGTTCAAATCAAAAGTGGTGTAAACTAGTCTTTCAATATTTTTAATAAATGAATAAATTATTTCGGCATTCAGACCCTCATCTAAATCAGTGGCATTTAATCTAATGACAAGAGTACCAACTAGAGCATTTTCTTGCAATGTCACAGAATAAAGTTCTTGACTGAATTTTGGCCTGTTGTCATTGTCATCCAGCACCGTGACATTAATAACGATGCTCCCTGATCGTGGCGGATTCCCACCGTCAACAGCAGTCAGTATAAGACTGTGAGTTACCTGACGCTCCCTGTCAAGTAATTTACGCAATTTTAAGATTGGGATTTTTTTCTCTCCTCCGTTTTCCCGAAGCTCAAGTTCAAAATATTCATTTTGGCTTAGTTTATAAAAACGAACAGAATTCACGCCTGCATCAGGGTCCTGTGCTTCCTGCAACTGAATGTCTTCACCCGGTAGGGTTGATTCTGCTATTTCTAACAGCACATCTTTATCAGCAAAAACTGGTGCATGATCATTTACATCGGTAATTTCAACTTCTACATAATGGACCTCAAGAGGATTTTCAACAACTGTCTTTAGACTTATCAAACAAGCATTAGTTCCATCACATAGCGCCTCTCTGTCGATAAGCTTGTCCACATACAAGATGCCATTATTCTGGTTTACCTGGAAAAGGGCGTCATTTAATCCAGAGACAATTCGGAACCTCCTGTCCATCAAAGCACTGACATCAAAACCCAAATCCTTTGCAATATTTCCCACAATCGATCCCTCTTTGACCTCCTCTGAAACAGTGTATCTTATCTGAGCTGAAACCTGCTGTCCGAGGCATATTAACAAATAGAAACACAGAGAAATCCACCAGTACTCCCATCGGCGCCTTTGTTCTCCAGCATCCATGCTGAAAACCGTCGCCTGAGGAACACGTCCCGTGTAAATTTATTCTCCTTACAATTACCGTATAAATCTATTTAAATGCTTCGAGGAAGAATTTGAGAACATCTTTTGCTCGAGTATCGACGAATATGTCCAGACTAAAAGAGTAGTCAGTGCGCTCTAGCCTGGGTTAAAACCCAGTGTGACGCAAACCAAATCCCTGACACAAACAACGTTTCCTTGTGTAATACTGACACCATGAGGTCCACTGCAACATGCCAATATTTTAAACACATCTCATGCACTTAAACTATAGCATTAAGGCAGAGAGCAAATGTTTGATACATTTTGCAGATATGATTTTATTAAATTAATATTAATATATAGTACATATGCCTGACCTCTAAAAAATATACTATATAAATATACATACTCTCTCATTATAAATAAATATATATATATATATATATATAATCTCTTTCTATATGCCTTCATATACATATATGCATATATATGAAATAAAACCTTAAAATTCAAAAGGTCACAAAGCTAATTTCAGCACCACGGACAGTTCCGCACGAATCAATAGCTATGACAAGTAAGATTTATTATTAAAAATTATCAATAAAAACTTTGTTTTTACACAATACATTTCCGTACTCCGAACTCATTGTTCATGTACAAGTTCAAGTACACGGTGGAGTTGTGTAAATAACTATCTTTTTGTCTAAGAACAAATTAGTCAAATTATGATCATATATAGGCCTAATATGACTGTGTCTGCGATGTAAGACTTTTTTTTATAAGAGCGAATTCAATGGCATTCAATCAGCCCCAGATATCACAAACGAATGTTGCAGAGAGACTGTAAGCAGATCTTACCGAGTTTAGATATTCAGTAAAAAATGTAAAAAAAAAAAAAAAAAGAAGTAAAAATCATTAAAAAACACACAGTATTTCCATTACTGCCCGGGATTATAGTAGAACTGATCCCAGGTCCAACCAACATGTACCTTTTGCTGTGACAGAGTTCACCTGAGTCCAATAAAATAATTTTAAATATTCTTAATATTGTCACAACTGATGAAGACAGACGCGAGGATGAACCAACACAAAACTTTAATGATGAAACTTCAAAAATACAACTCAGGAATGTAAGGATATGTACGCCAGTATCCAAACAGGTAACTTAGCTTAATAATAACACTGATGCAGTTTCCAGGACTGAGGAAGATTTCGAGACTGTCGAGTGGAAATGGAGGACAATGAAGACCGTGGGGAACAGGAGTGCAGGTAATTAGTCAGGTAAGTCACAGGTAGGAGCAACGAGACCAGACAATGGGTGCTTGTGGGGTGATGGTTTATGGCAGTCCTTGATGAGTGACAACAGGTGGAGGTGATCAGAACTCTGGGGATTGGGAAGTATGGGAGGAGTTGAGGGGTCTAGCGCTAAGGGATTGCATGAATTCGTGACAAATATAGCATTATTATTATATTCCAACAATGATTAGAAGAGAGAATAGTTCTGTTCCACTACAGAGATTCATACAGCAACATACAAAATCTGTCACAAATCTACCTTGACATAAAAAGCCCAATATGTTATAAACAATAAAAACAGCCATGCCAAAACAAAGCCTGAAAAGTCAACATGAGCAAGGAGAGAAGGACACGCCAAAGAACATTCAAAGAGTGCAAAAATAATAAATCCGCCAGCCTTACCTCTCCAGAATCTCTCCTCCTGCGATCTGGTATCACTAGAGTATTCCTATTACTGCCTGGCGCTATTGTGGAGCCGATACTCATTCTGGGTCCAACTAACATGTACCGTTTGTCTCCAGATCTGTACTGGATGCTGTGACACAGAGTTCCGTCGTAATTTGTCTCTTGTAAATACTTGGACGAATAGTCTGTAGATTTAGAGCACTGCATCACAATCAACACGATGATGCTGATGACAAAAAGCACTGAAACCGAGCCCAAAGTGATGATCAGATAAAATGTCACGTCGTTTTCCTCCTCGTCTCTTACTGCGTTTTTAACATCAGAAGCTGCAAAAGCCTCTTTGGGCTCCACAACTTTGACCATCACAGTCGCTGTTGCTGAGAGTGAAACGTTCCCATTATCTTTGACCAGTATGAGCAGTTTATGCTGGGCCTCGTCTGTTTCTGTGAATGAGCGAAGGGTTCTTATCTGTCCTGTATAGCGGTCCAAACTAAAGAGACTGTGGTCACTAACTTCCGGCAGTGAAAACAATAACCAGCCGTTGTATCCTATATCTGCGTCATAGGCTCTGACTTTAGTCACCAAATGACCAGCGTTCACATTCCGGGGAATCTCTTCCACACCCTCAGCAGAACCGTTAGCGCTGACTGGATATAAGATCACTGGAACGTTGTCGTTCTGATCCAGAATAAACACGTTTACTGTCACGTTACTGCTCAGAGACGGACTTCCAGAGTCTTTAGCGAGCACATGGAACTGGAAAGTTTTGGTAGCTTCAAAATCAAAACTTTTAAGTGCATAAATTCCGCCTGTTTCCGAATTAATATTTAAAAACGATGTAATGTCACTCCCTTTAATAATCTGATATGAAATCACAGAGTTTTCATTTAGGTCTTTGTCAAAAGCACTCAGTGTGAGAATGGGCGCGCCTGCAGCATTGTTTTCAATCATATATAATTCAATAGGATTTATGCTAAATTCAGGCGGGTTATCATTAACATCGGACACCTGCACGCTCAGAGTTTTAAAGGAGGACAGTGGAGGCTGACCCAAGTCGGTCGCTGTTATTGTAATTTCATAATTTGATATGATTTCACGGTCCAGGTTCCTTTTAGTGACTAACGAAAACATGTTGTCCTGAACTGATGGTTTTAATTCAAATGGAACATTTTCTGAGAGAGAGCACACAACTTTTCCGTTAACACCAGTGTCTCTGTCAGTAACACTAATGAGTGAGATTACAGTACCAGACTTGGAATCTTCAGACACCATCTTAGACAGTGACGTTACATCGATCTCAGGCGTATTATCGTTTGTGTCTAAAATTTTTACGACAACTCTGGAGTCTGTCTTCATAGGGGGCTGGCCATTATCAGAGGCTTGAACATCAAGTTTGTAAATAGATTTGTCCTCAAAATCTATGTCCCCTTTCACACGAATGTCACCTGTCAGTTTATCCAAACTAAATATGTCATACACCTTTGGGCTCTGATCGCTGCCAAATGCGTATGTGACCTCTCCATTTGAACCATAATCTGCATCACTTGCTTGAACCTGAATGACTAGCGTTCCAACTTGTATATTTTCTTTTAGAGTTGTAGAATACATATCTTGGCTAAAAAACGGTCTATTGTCATTTATGTCAAGAACGTTAATAGTAATATTTAGAGTTCCTGATTTTTGTGGATTTCCTCCATCTATTGCTGTTAAAACTAAATTATATTCGTCATTAATCTCACGGTCAAGAGTTTTTTGTAAAACTAAAAATGGCAGCTTATCTTCTCCCTGATCTCGGACTTGAAGATCAAAGTGTTCATTTTGGGTTAATTTGTATGTACGAACAGAATTTCCCCCTGCATCCGGGTCACGCGCCGCCTTAAGCTGAAAACGCGTCCCTCGAGCAGTCGATTCCAAAATCTCCAATCGTTTCTCATGTTCACTGAAAGTAGGCGAATTGTCATTTACATCAATCACCTCTACTCCAAAGTAATGTATTTCAAGGGGATTTTCGACGATAATCTTCAGATTGATCATGCATGCACTATGACTATCACACAGCGATTCTCGGTCGATTTTCTTATGAACATGCAAGACGCCGTTCTGATTTACCTGGAAAAAATCATCATTGGATCCAGATACAATGCGGAACCGCCTGTCCGCCAAAGCACTGACTTCAAGCCCCAAATCCTTTGCAATATTTCCAACGATTGTTCCTTCTTTCACTTCCTCTGGAATAGAGTACCTTATCTGAGCTGAAACCTGCTGTCCGAAGCACAACAGAAAAGAAAAACACAAAGAGATCCACCAGCACTCCCATCTGCGCTTTTGTCCATCGGGTTCCATCATGAATCAACTGCTTAAGATCACAAAACAAATCAATGTTGACCTTGATTTCTTAATTAGCGAATTCTCCGAGATGTCTCTGAAATGTGCAATTTCTTCAAACAAATCACCGCAATCCACGCCGACTACCAGGTGTTTCAACAACACAGAATTGCGCTTTTGGTGGAGAGGAACAATTGTGTGACGCCAATGTCTTAAAGAGGAGGGACTGCATTAAAAAGGTTTCCTTGTGTAATACTGACACCATGAGGCTAACTGATAATATAGCGGATAATGAAGAATTTCAGTTCTAGGAAACATTAGATTAGAATATAACTGCCAATGCGAGGCTTCACTCGATTGTAAGCAAACCTACAAACCACATAATAAAGATTGTATTCCTTTTAATGTCTAAAGACAACACATATCACAAAAATCACTCAAAATTGATATTGATATAGTGGCACCGTGAAATGATTATATCACAACATAATGGAGATATTAGAGGTGTGCTGTAATACAGAAATAAAAAACAGATTTCGGTTCCTGTTGATTTTATTTAGAATGAGCTAAAAATGGAAGCGTAATCGTTTTGCTCGAGGGAATAGATATTTCTCATTTATAGACTATATTTTAAAATACAAATTTAAAGTAGCCTACAGCCATTAATGAGTGTGACTGACACCCTAAGTGTTTTAGGTTTCAGTTAAAAAAAGTTTTTTTCTGTATTTCATGTATTTTAATGGTGAGAGCCAGAGGGAGTACTTTTTTAATAAGTTAATAAGATTAATGTAGTTTAGCTATAAAAAATAAATCCCACCACTGTTGAGATAGCAGTTAATGTTCTTTTTACTCCGATCAGCTGCAGTGTGGTTTATTTTGAACACTGATTATTTGCACTTTTACTAAATGTCATCACCGGGTTGAAAATGTTCATGAGAATGTATAGTTTTGAATTTCAGCACCACGGACAGCTCTCTTCGAAACGACTACGTGAAAACTTAAAAATAATAAGAATAATTGTAAAAGATGCATCTTACCTCTCCAGAATCTCTCCTCCTGCGATCTGGTATCACTAGAGTATTCCTATTACTGCCTGGCGCTATTGTGGAGCCGATACTCATTCTGGGTCCAACTAACATGTACCGTTTGTCTCCAGATCTGTACTGGATGCTGTGACACAGAGTCCCGTCGTAATTTGTCTCCTGTAAATACTTGGACGAATAGTCTGTAGATTTAGAGCACTGCATCACAATCAACACGATGATGCTGATGATAAAAAGCACCGAAACCGAGCCCAAAGTGATGATCAGATAAAATGTCACGTCGTTTTCCTCCTCGTCTTTTACTGTGTTTTTAACATCAGAAGCTGCAAAAGCCTCTTTGGGCTCCACAACTTTGACAATCACAGTCGCTGTTGCTGAGAGTGAAACGTTCCCATTGTCTTTGACCAGTATGAGCAGTTTATGCTGGGCCTCGTCTGTTTCTGTGAATGAGCGAAGGGTTCTTATCTGTCCTGTATAGCGGTCCAAACTAAAGAGACTGTGGTCACTAACTTCCTGCAGTGAAAACAATAACCAGCCGTTGTATCCTATATCTGCGTCATAGGCTCTGACTTTAGTCACCAAATGACCAGCGTTCACATTCCGGGGAATCTCTTCCACACCCTCAGCAGAACCGTTAGCGCTGACTGGATATAAGATCACTGGAACGTTGTCGTTCTGATCCAGAATAAACACGTTCACTGTCACGTTGCTGCTCAGAGACGGACTTCCAGAGTCTTTGGCCACAACAAAGAATTGAAATGTTTTTAAAGACTCAAAGTCAAAGCTCTTCAATGAGTAAACAGTACCATTCGCCTCATTAATACTCAGAAATGATATCATGCTTTGATCTGAATTCACTCGATCAATTGAATACGAGACACGTGCGTTTTCACCTTCGTCTATATCAGCTGCACTTAAAGAGAAAACAGCAATTCCTGGTTTGTTGTTTTCAACCACGTAGAATGTATATGGGCTTTGAGTAAATGTGGGGCTGTTGTCGTTAACATCCGTGACCTCGACGTGAATCGATCTCGTTGATGATAACGACGGGGTTCCTAAATCTTTGGCTGTTATGGTAATGTCATAAGACGATTTAGATTCTTTGTCAATGTGTTCTTTAGTTACCAGAGAATAAAAGTTTCCATCAGGCGATGGCTTGAGATCAAAGGGAATATTTTTAGGCAGAGCGCAAACAATCTTTCCATTCATACCTGAGTCCAGGTCAGTAACTCCCATCAGAGCCACCACAGTCCCAGGAGGAGCATCCTCGGGTATGTGGCTAGATACTGAGGTGACGTCAATCTCAGGCCTGTTGTCGTTGACATCCTCAACATTGACAAGCACATTACATAGTGTAGATAATGACACGGCCCCCTTATCCGCAGCCACTATCTTTAGCTCATAAACTTGCCTTTCCTCATAATTTAGCCCTCCTTTTATCTTCAATTCCCCCGTTAAACTATCTAAATCAAAAACCTCAGATGCTCCGTTCCTGAACTTGTTCCTTAAAGAATATTCAATTTCCCCATTTCTGCCATCATCTGAATCCGAAGCATTTACGCGGAGCAGAAATGTTCCTTCAGGGGCGTTTTCTTTCACCTTCACTGTGTATTTTTGTTTATCACAAATGGGAGTATTATCATTGACATCTGACACAACAATAGTAATATTTACAGTAGTTGATTTCTGCGGCTTTGCGCCGTCCGTCGCAGTTAATATTAGCGTATGCCTTGCGCTTTTTTCTCTATCAAGAGGTTTTTGTAGAATGAGGACAGGGATCTTACCTTCGTCTCCCATGTCTTCCGTTTCTAAACGAAAATAATGATTTTGGCTCAGTTTATATGCCTGCAAGTCGTTTGAGCCTATATCTGGATCGTGAGCAGTTTCTAACTGAAATCGTGCTCCTGTCATTGCAGATTCAAGTATTTCCAATTTATAGTTTTCATCCAAAAAACTAGGTGGGTTATCATTGACATCGATGATGTCAACTGATATCTGGTGCATTTCGAGTGGATTTTCTATCACTGCTTTAAGATGAACGAGACACGGGTTGGTTTTAGCACACAGCTCTTCTCTGTCTATCCTCTGGTTCACAAACAAAGCGCCGTCTTCATGATTTACCCGAAAGAGCTCTTGCTTTGTCCCCGCAACAATGCGTAAATTCCGGTTCTCCAATGAAGTCGGATCAATCCCCAAGTCTTTTGCAATGTTCCCTACAGTGACTCCAGTTTTAGATTCTTCTTGGAGGGAGTAGTTTATCTGAGCAGCATTTCCTCCGGAATTAAACAGCAAACACATCACATAAAGAATCTTGCTCATCCACGTTCTTGTGTTTTCACTCGCCATAGTTTCCTCTGAAAATAGCAGATGCGGTCAACTCATGTATGCTGTTCCAAAGCACAAATAACGGACTGATTTAAAATCGTCGTGGTTGTTCATTGTTCAAAGCCAAAGTGATGTCTGACACACGCCAAGCCACGAAATCTGTTAAACGCAACTGTAGCAATGTATGGTATTGCAGCGCCACTTAGAGCGATTTTGCAGAACTGCATCATCTCCTTCACAAGACATCTTCTAGTGATGCTGTTTCCATCCAAAGTTGGGAATTTAACTTATGCGCAAAATGGGAATATCGCATAAAACATTACAAATAGGACCAAACATGACCAGCTATACTAGATTAAATGATCGGAGAAGGTCAAATGATTATTATTATGATTATTGTTATGATTATTGTTATTATTAACGATTATATATCTGAAAATAAATATCTAATTAATTTTTTGGGGAAAAAAACGTTTTGTTATTTTTCTGTTATTGCAATCAGCGTTTAAAACACGTGTTATACATTTTAAGAGAATAAATGAGCCAGTATTAATATGTTGACCATGTCTATGTGTTTTAGTGTCTGACTGCATGGTGTGCAGTGACATCTTGTGGTTCAGTTACACAGATCACGTGACAAACTCGGCCCCACCCGCCCCTTTTGTTCTGCGCTCCCTCCCACCACAGCTGATTACGTATCTGGGTCTGTGAAAACCAAACCATGTACCAGACAAATGACACCAGAGGGCAGAGTGAAGTGATTCACATCTCAAGGTCGTTTCTCACGGACGTATGGAAATCAAATATAGCCTACATATCAATCACATTTACGCGCACCAGTATTTCATATCATAGATTGTTATAAATGTCTGTGTTATACCGTGTATAATGCTGTTTATTTCACATAGACTGCACAGATATACGAGCTCCCCAGATTTGGCTTGCTGAGCCTCTTGTCGGTGCATCAAATTACAGGATGCAGCATCATGCACCCCCCTCCCCGCCCGTTACCATGGCAACGGGCCTTTGGCTAGGCGGGTCGCTGTCTCTGGTGCTGAACAATGCAGTCTCCAGGGGAAAGCGTGAGTGAAGGGAGGTGTTTGGGAAGACATGAGGAACACCAAATAAATTCAACACTCACAAAAAATGTTTTGCTACTAACAACACTGTATTTTTTAATAATTATTTAAATTTCATGATAAAATGATTCTCTCTTCTATTAACCCACCTTCCATTCTCTTTTATTCGGTTGCTAAGAGACAGGCTCCCGTTGCCTAGAAACCAGCAGTCAGCCTGATTTCTCTGAGTGAGGCCTTTTTTTCTGCAGTGTCTCAGGAAAGCATGGTGTGTGTGTGTGTGTGTGTGTGTGTGTGTGTGTGTCCGCTGCAGCAGCTTTTAAGGGTGCTGCAGTCTCACTCTGTGCTCTAAGGCAGGCGGAGAGAGATCTGGGTCAGGAGGAAAAGACAAGCAAAAAGCAGTTGCATGTTTTTGCAACTTTGTTCTTCTGACCCACATCACAGAACCAGAACCAGGCAGTAAGCCAGCGAAGACAGCATTTAATGCTTTATTATTTCTGTCAAAATTAGCAGAAGAAAAAAAGTATTTATTTATCAGAGTGGGTGATGATAATCTGAGTGTGGTTTTATAGTGTTTTACATCTAAATGAAAAAGCGGATATGACATGAAACTGTCTGATTATCCTTATGCATTACATCATTTGCAGAGATGACCTCATCTTTTTCCAGTCACCCACCCAAACAAAAACACACTCACCTACTGCCCCAAAACAACTGAAAATCATGCAAACTAAGATTAATAATTCACAAAAGTCACTTTGATTTTATTGATGATCAGAAGAAGTCAGTTGAGTCATAATCACATACATGGTCTGTCTTTCTCTTCCCCATTTAAAAGACAATCATAATGGTACTGTACAAACAATGTGTTTTGATTTTTATACTCCAGTGCATCTGTGCTGAATTTGGCTAATGGCTGATTGCTATTCACATGTTTAGAAGTCATTTCAAAGCTAAAAACATTATGAAATGCAAAGTCCCATCACGGTTCTGATTTACATTGTGAATGACAGAAATCACTATTTTCAATGTTTTTATCTATTGTATATGCAGTACAATATATCAGCAGATACTTATGAGCAAAGAGGGTCTTGTGTGTTTCTCCAAGGCAAATCACGGATGCATTCAGCTTTAGGAAGGCTTTAGAGCACAAATGCTGGTAGAAAATGCACATTTTGATAAGGATAAAGGATGAAAAAGAGATGAAGGGGCTATCATGTGCTTTATACAGACAGCCCATTTTTATATCACAAAACGAGGCTATTGGGTAAATGAATTGTAGTCACTTTCCTGGGTAGTGAGAGATAAGTGACCTACTTATAGCTGCTCACACTGACAGACATGAAATCACATAAAAAACACCCCACCTCTTTCTTTAATACAAACGCAATGTTATTTTACAGCACCGCTCATGTCTGAGAATTAGCCAAATATTTTGAGACAGCTAATTATGAGCCTTAAAACATTTTATTCCTCTCTCTTAAAATATCACATGTAAACACCCCACATTTGTACCTCTAAAACAGAAAATAAAAGGAGAATTGGGTAAATGTATTTTGTAATGGTACATTGCTTTGACAATACCAAGACATACACACTGTGCATCCCAGAGCCTGTCACTGAATACAGCCCAAGACACCCTGACCTCTTGACCTGCCTGGGGAAACTGCCAGACCCTCAGAAGATTATGATTATTACATGATTTTATCGTAAATGACATTTCAGAAAGGCAGCAAAATATCAGAAAAACAAAAATACCATATTGTTCACTGAAATAAAATACGTATGTCCATATATTGCACCACTGCTATAGATAGCAAATAGAAAATATCAACAATAAAAAGCAGCAATATGAAACTTTATATTAAAAAAAGAAATTACAAAATGAATAAATGAAACTTTTACAATGTATTTTCTGCATGTATTCTTTTTTCAAAGCATTTCCATGAGTATTAAACAAACACATTCCATAATATTAGATAATAATAATAATATAGCCTATAAATAAGCAAAGTAAACATTAACAGTTGTCATTTGTCATTGTTTATAAGCATCTAAGTCATCCGCCACCTTGAGTATTCTATGCATTTGGCCTTTTTTGAAAGATTCGGTGAAGGCTGATGGAACTCTTTACTGTATGTCTCCATCTCTTAAATTGTGTGTTTTTATCCATGACAAAAAGGAGTAACTCACTGATAAACATCTCAGAAGTAGATGTGTTATTATGTGAGATCTTGGGCATCAGAGGACTCTCCTAAACTCGGCACTTTAGAAACGACTGTGTCCTTCAAATGCTTCTGCACTATGGCATCACTGTGCTGTGTCTGCGTTTGTGCATTTATGAATGTCACCAGACACCAAGGTTACATCACACCAGGAGTACTGGATCCAGTCTCTTTTTGTCTGGTATGCAAAACCAGTATTTTGTCTGGCACCCAAGACTTCTATCAGCCTTAGAGGTTGACAGAGGAGGCCATGAATTAGCAGAAATGAACCAGGTTTATTGAATAACCTTCATCTGACCAGCACAAATAAAACAGGTTTTTCTATACCAAACTGCTTCACGACAACAACATCCCATAAAACCTAGAAATTGCAATATTCCCTCTTATCTGTTATTCGTGAAGACAAATATTCCATGAAACCCCACCATCATAGGATTAAAAACTAATAGAAAGCATTGCAAGAGCAAGGAAAATATTAGTACAAAAATTGCAATTGATTCAATGATAAATGGTATAAATATGTACATGAAAAATTAGATAAATGGATAATTAGATAATCATCTAATCATTTATAATCAACCATTCATTTAATTTGTCATTTGCTTGTTTATACCATTTGTTATTTATCAAATGATGGCTTACATAAATGATTATAAATGGTAATAAAACTAAATGAAGAAAATTGTGCTCTTGAACGCACATACAGATCCTTCACGGAAGCAGTCATGGTGATTTTACAGCCTTCACTACACTCATAAAAAATAATATCAGATTCAGGAGAGATCATAACAACGGTATCCGTTTTCCACACTTTCTGTGTCAGATCAGTGCCTAGATTCAACTTGATTCTTTACAAACTGAAACTCAAAATACTGACACAAACAGCAACACTGGCATAATACAACACTACAGAGAAGAGCAAAGAATATAAGGCACAACAAATCAATTTTGTTGTGACCTATTCTGAATACACTTGTATTATTCTGATAGAAGTCTAAATGAGATCCAAGAAAACACATAATAAATGCTTTATACATATGTTGCAGGGAAAGAGAAGCTTTCAATGTCCAAACTCTTTCTAGCAAGAGCTCCCCACGCCATCTCTCCACAGGTCTGCATCACTTGAATCCGCTTTGTGCTTGTTCAGTATCACACACATTGCAAAACAAATCCCATGAATCTTTTTTTTCAGTAAAAATATCTAAACATGCATGAAACCGGGTATATTCACACGAGAAGCAAATTGCATGAGATTAACAGCACTTTAGAGAATGTATGTCCAATATAAATATTTTGTAATGTAATTTTCAGTTTTTTTTTTTTTTACTGGTTTACACTTTTTTGTAAACATTTGCTTATTAGGCAACTTAATGTTATTTCAAGGATGTTTAGATATTTCAACTAGAAAAAAAAGACAAAGCAACAATTACAAATGGGATTTTTTTTGTGCAATTCACTGTCCACGTCTGGTCATGTGAGAATATTCTGTTAATAATTTCTCTCTCCAATGTTTTTATCAGTCACTATATATATATATAATGAAGATCTAACATGGAGCTTTAACCATGCAAACACAAGCATACTGGTTTCGCAGAAAAGTTTCTTGGACAAAGACATGATCTGTGCTGTTTGAATATATGCATTGTGTGTGTGTGTGTGTGTGTGTGTGTGTGTGTGTGTGTGTGTGTGTGTGTGTGTGTGTGTGTGTGTGTGTGTGTGTGTGTGTGTTCACAGACCCAGTCCAAGTCCAGTCCTGTAAGAGTATCTCGTCTTTGTCAATCCTCTGGTCAGATCGTCCATGGGCTTGTTGGGGAAAAGCGAGGGCAAAACTCTCTGAACATTGATGTGAAGATGTAGGCATCATTCAGGGTTCTTTTCATCTCTGTAGGATGGTGCAGGTGGATGTAATGGATGCAGGTGAACAGACATGCAGGTTGATGGAACACGTTGCTCCAGCAATGACGCCCGCGAAGGTCCTCAGGTGGAACTGCTGCTGGTGGTGGTGGATGCCTGTCAAAGAGAAAGAAAAAGTGGACGTAAGAGGCTGGACTTCAGATGTTACTCACATTGTGATAGGCCAGAATCTGAACACGTCTCATGCAACCAAGGCCTGTCACTCAAATAAAAGGCTTCAGGCAGAAGGTGGAACCTTGGTTTGATTGACAGGTGACGGGGGGGTGGGTTGATCAATGAGAACCATGCTCAGATATCAGGTGAGGGTGGTTGGGGTGATGGAAGGGCAACGAGCTGAAAACTGGGTGGTTGGTTCCCATCACTCTGATTTATTTGTGAAAAGAAATACAACAGAACCAGTATGTGAACTTGGAATCCACCAGTCAATTCACCAACCATTCAAACACACAAGTAGACAAACCATCCAACAAACAGGCTGAGGAGCTCATAATGATGTTTAGTAGATGAAGTACATATATTGTTAAAACCCACATCATGCACTAGAACCATATTTGATTTAAAAAAAAACTTGTTGTTTAAAGGAATGTAATTCTGCCATTTACTAACCCACCTCTTGTTTTAAAGCCCTGTTTTTTTTTTTTTAGTCTGTGGAACTCAAAATGCTATTTTTCAGACCATGAAAGCGGATAAGAACAGATGCTGTCGAATAAACTTTCCCTCCACAATCTTATAGATTGGTATTGAAAGACATGTAATATTAAGTAACATGGAATTGACTATATTGACACTATCAGATGAGAAGTCAATTAAGCTGAATATTGGCACTATTTTCTTTTTAGAACTGCATTGCAGCAAAATTTGTCTCATAATTAATGACTTTTGCATCACTGATTCTGTTATTACAGTGAAGCTGCTTTGAAACAATCTGTAATGTATAAAGTGCTAAAGGTTATTTGACTTGACAGCATCCATTCCCTGTCACTTTCATACAGCGTAAACATTCTTCCACAAAAGAAAGCAAATAATTTGACTTTGATCAGTTAAGTAAATAAGTAAATGATCAGTTTGAACTTCTGGGTGAACTTTCTTTAACCGGTTCAGTAATAGATCTTGGCAGGGCATGTTTATCTGAGCAACTTTTGCACCCTCAGCCACTGTCAATCAAACCACACAGAGTCAGTTATCATTAGCGCTTCTGCTGGTCAAAGGTGTCTATAAAAGGAGGGGTTTGTGAGGCTGCATAACATCAGTTTGTAGTGAAGAAAACACCAGCTTTAAGGATTTCAGTCTAACTATTGAGTTTCACAAGTGGAAACAAATGCACACATTGTGTTCATAAAGACTGCAAAGTTTAAATCTAGCAGCCTGTGCATCTAAAAGGCTCAGAAGACCAAGTGAGATGCCAAACTGAGTGTTAATGTTGACCTGCATCTAAACTGTGATTATGAACAGGCCTCAGGGAAAAAAAAACTGATTTGAATTCAGTTGAATAAATTGGTTCCTTGGCTCCTCCTACAACAGGACAAGGCAAACTCCACTGACAAAAAACACCAACCACAAAGAGAAACACATAGAGTCACACATATTTCAGTAAAGGTCAATGGGCCCTGGGATCAGGTGCTCCAGAAATCGAGAAAATGGTGAAGTCAGGGCTGCATACCTCCAGCGGGAGAAGGGACCTCGTTCATTTTGAGTACTTTAAAACGGAAACAAAAACAGAGACACACATTTCAATATTTGAGCTTATGGCAGAAACATTTTGATGAATTTCACTGAACAGAGTAGATAAAAAAGCCAACAAAAAAAAATCTGTTACAAAACTTATTCTACATCAGTCCTATAGTCTAAGCTTGTTTGAAAAGCTCTACAGTGCATTAACAAAGCAGGAAAAGACTTCCTCTCCTCCGTCAGTGCTGTTTGAATTATCAGGGACTCCAGGTAACCTGTGAATAATGTAAAAGCATAACAAATTATGCAAAAAGAATTTGTTGCAAAACAAATCGAGCAAACAAACTCCATTACGCAATTCACTAAGAAGTAGAGGAATAAGAGAGTCAGATTAAGATATGTTGTTTAAAAAAAGAGACTGCACAAAAAAGAATAGAAAAGTTAAAGTTACGTCTCATTCTGTCTTTCAATCACTTACCTGTCCTTCAGGTGACACTCTAACAAATGAGAACAACTTAATGAAATGCTACAGAACAACTCTATCATGCATATAAACAAAGCTTGATGCAAGCTTAACTATATCCAAATACTTTTTGGGGCCACTGTGATAAGATTTTTTGTCTAAATAAGCGCATAAATCTTTGGTGTCCAACATTACATCAGAATATTAAGAGATTTAAGCACAAAAGTATGAAGGTTTGTGAACATCAGAAGTGCAGGTGAAACAGCAGCAGCAGGACAGGAAAGTAGGTCAACCTGCTCTGAGAGAGAAGCAACACGTCACGCAACATGCTTGCACAAGTCTGTACATGTTACACACACACACACACACACAATCTCTTTCACAGCTGGCTCAGCCAGAGGGAAGCTGAGAATATATGTACAACAGGTAAAAGAGAAAAAATATGGGGCTGTGGAATCAGAACAAACAGCATAAATTCACATATCACTATCAGTTCGTCTGAAGAGATAAAACCATACATTGTTAACTTTAAAAGTGAAGATGAAAAAAAACTGTGAAACTGACTTAAAGTTAAAAGAACAGGTATAAGAAATGTACCAAAGACAAAAAATTAAAAAACCATTACACACATACACAAACTCTAGTGTAAAGAGAATATCTGCTAAGAACGACTGAAACATCAAGTTTCGAAGGTGATGCACAGAAAAGCAAATTTATGAATGTATGCATAGTCTCACTGACCCCATACAAGATGGGAAGCTGGAAAAGTTGTGAATGTCCACATGAAAGGCAAAAGCTGAAAAAAGTGTGTTGGCCAACGGTTGAAAGGTCAAATGGTATTCTCTGTTGTCTGGCTTCTTTGAAGGAGTTTACATGTTAACATTATATAGGCCTACCTGTAGAGTAGAAGCGGCTGAGTCGCTGGTCTCGGTCACTCCTGTGCTCCTCGGTAAACTGGACACAATGTATCTCGCTCCCTTTGGCGCAGGCTGTCTGACCACCAGCTTTCCTTTCCTCGTCTCTGCTAGAAATAAACTGTACCAGTAGGCATCGTTGGAGACCAGAGTGGAATCCGCGATGGTCGAGTTCCTCTCGCTGATCACACTGTTCCTGCACGGAGGAGCCGCTTTGCTGGGCTTCGCTTTCTGACACTTCAGCACGATGGTCACCAGTATAGTGATGAGTAAAAGAAATGAGACAGAGCCCAGGCCGATCACCAGATACAGGTTTAGATCTGAGAAGATGTCATATTCCAAAGGCACCTCAGTATAGGTTTTGAGGGCGGTCTCCACCGTGGACAGTTTGATGGTGACTGTAGCAGAGAGCGCGGGCTCTCCGTTGTCTTTGGCGATCACCACCAGCCGCTGGTCTCGCGAGTCTCTGTAACTGAACATTCTCATGGTCCGGATCTCTCCGTTGTATTGATCCAAGCTGAATAACGTGGCGTCGGTGTTCTGGAGGAACTGGTACGTGATTCGAGAGTTGTGCACTGAGTCAGAGTCTATGGCGATGACTTTAGCTATCAGAGTTCCTTTATCTGTGGATCTCGGGATCTTTTCCTTCACTTCAGAGCCGTGCGCGCGCCATGGAGACACTATAAGCGGTGTGTTGTCGTTCTGATCCATGATAATAATGTGAACGGTCACGTTACTGCTGAGCGGAGGAACACCAGAGTCTCTGGCCTCGATGTGGAAAAGAAACTCCTTCTCCATCTCATAGTCAAAGGTCTTTAGCGCGTAAAGATTACCGTTCTCTGGGTTAATGGAGAACAGCATGGACATGGAGGTGTTCACTATTTCCTTCTCTATTATAAAATAAACTAGATACTGATTTTCATGGAGATCTGGGTCTACAGCAGTTAAAGAGCTCAGTGAAGCTCCAGGCGCGTTATTCTCCATAACAGGTATCGTGTAGAATGTCTGCGGGAACTGAGGAACATTGTCATTAACGTCCAGTAGCTCTAAAGTTATAGTTTCATTATCAGATAACGGCGGGTTGCCCCTGTCAGTGACGGAAATAGTGATGTCATATTCTGCAAACTTTTCACGGTCTAACGGTTCTGAAATTAATAATTCATAATAATTATCAGATGATTCTTTAAGCGCAAAAGGTAAATCATCAGAAATATGAATATCTACCTGTCCATTTTCTCCAGAGTCTTTATCACTCACACTAACAACTGCAATTACTGTATTTACAGGTACATCCTCTTTAACTGGACTTGTGAATGACTTTATGGAAATTTCAGGATGATTGTCATTCATATCTGTGATTAAAATCTTTACTTTACACTTTCCAGAGAGACTATTAGCTGCTTTATCTGTTGCTATAATTTCCATATCATAGATCCTGAAATCCTCATAATTAATCATTTCTTTCACTCTGATTTCACCATTGTTAGGATTCAGACTGAATGTTTGCTGCGTTTTCTCTGATGTATACAAACTAAAAGAGTAAAGTAATTCTGAATTTAATCCCTCGTCTTTATCTGTGGCGTTTAATTTCACTACAAGGCTTCCAGTAGGCGAGTTTTCTGTTAGATTTATAGTATAACTGTCTTTATCGAACTGAGGGGCGTTGTCATTAGTGTCCAGAACGCGCACAATAATGCTAGCCGTGCCAGAGCGCGCGGGGACTCCTCCATCCACAGCAGTGAGGATCAGATTATGTATGGCCTGCTCCTCGCGATCTAAGGCTTTTTTCAGTATTAAATCAGCAAATTTTGAACCATCCCTCCCTGTCTGTATTTCAATATCAAAGTTTGCACTCTCACTCAAATGATAACTTTTAATGGAATTTGAACCTATATCAGGGTCAACCGCATTACTTAGAGAAAACCTCTCGCCAGCAGCTGTAGATTCAGAGACGTCCAAATTAATCGAATCCCTACGAAAGTAAGGCGCATTGTCGTTAATATCCATTATTTCCAATTCAATGTTAAATATACGAACTGGGTTTTCCAATATGACTTCCATTTTTAAGTAACATACTGTTTTTGATATGCAAAGATACTCCCTGTCAATGCGCTCCAAAATAAACAGGTCTCCAGTGTCTTTGTTCACATCCAGATATTTTTTATTTGCAAGGATATCTAACCTGATTTTTCGCCTTCCCAACGTTTGCACATCGATTCCTAAATCTGCAGCCAGATTAGCAACCACAGAGCCTACCTCCATCTCCTCCGGAACGGAATAATGGGTGACAGAAGACGCGGTGTAAACGAGTGCCGAGAACAGCAGTAATGATGCGTACTCCATTCTGTCTGTGAAGCGTGTTGTCTTTGCGAGCACAAAACACAGCTGTCCTTAACAATGATGAATGCAAATGGAAGACATTCGGTGTATTCCAATATTGACTTTGTTTTCACCTGCGTTATACGGAAGTATTAGTATTATTCGTTGCAGAAAGCTAACAGAAGCACTTGGATCCCCGCACGCTTTTTATAAAGACTCTCCGCGTCACCGTTGAGCACGAACTGTCATGGCGTCTACAAAATAAATAAATAAATGAAAAATCGTCCGTTTTGTTGGGGCACAGCGACACGTCGAGTATGTTTTTAAGAATTACGACAAATATATTATATAAAGTCAAGATTTCTTTCGTAACTGAACTAATTTTCATGATCAGAGCAGAAATGTAAACAAAAAGTATGAAAATATAATGTGAATAAAATAATAGCCCTACGTTATTTAAAATAAATATTGAACTTAAAATTGAAATGTGTTTTTTTTAATGCAGTTCAAGTTACCTGTAGAGTAGATGCGGCTGAGTCACTGGTCTCGGTCACTCCTGTGCTCCTCGGTAAACTGGACACGATGTATCTCGCTCCCTTTGGCGCAGGCTGTCTGACCACCAGCTTTCCTTTCCTCGTCTCTGCTAGAAATAAACTGTACCAGTAGGCATCGTTGGAGACCAGAGTGGAATCCGCGATGGTCGAGTTCCTCTCGCTGATCACACTGTTCCTGCACGGAGGAGCCGCTTTGCTGGGCTTCGCTTTCTGACACTTCAGCACGATGGTCACCAGTATAGTGATGAGTAAAAGAAATGAGACAGAGCCCAGGCCGATCACCAGATACAGGTTTAGATCTGAGAAGATGTCATATTCCAAAGGCACCTCAGTATAGGTTTTGAGGGCGGTCTCCACCGTGGACAGTTTGATGGTGACTGTAGCAGAGAGCGCGGGCTCTCCGTTGTCTTTGGCGATCACCACCAGCCGCTGGTCTCGCGAGTCTCTGTAACTGAACATTCTCATGGTCCGGATCTCTCCGTTGTATTGATCCAAGCTGAATAACGTGGCGTCGGTGTTCTGGAGGAACTGGTACGTGATTCGAGAGTTGTGCACCGAGTCAGAGTCTATGGCGATGACTTTGGCTATCAGAGTTCCTTTATCTGTGGATCTCGGGATCTTTTCCTTCACCTCCGAGCCGTGCGCGCGCCATGGAGACACTATAAGCGGTGTGTTGTCGTTCTGATCCATGATAATAATATGAACGGTCACGTTACTGCTGAGCGGAGGAACACCAGAGTCTCTGGCCTCGATGTGGAAAAGAAACTCCTTCTCCATCTCATAGTCAAAGGTCTTTAGCGCGTAAAGATTACCGTTCTCTGGGTTAATGGAGAACAGCATGGACATGGAGGTGTTCACTATTTCCTTCTCTATTATAAAATAAACTAGATATTGATTTTCATGGAGATCTGGGTCTATAGCAGTTAAAGAGCTCAGTGAAGCTCCAGGCGCGTTATTCTCCATAACAGGTATCGTGTAGAATGTCTGCGGGAACTGAGGAACATTGTCATTAACGTCCAGTAGCTCTAAAGTTATAGTTTCATTATCAGATAACGGCGGGTTGCCCCTGTCAGTGACGGTAATAGTGATGTCATATTCTGCAACCTTTTCACGGTCTAACGGTTCTGAAATTAATAATTCATAATAATTATCAGATGATTCTTTGAGAGCAAAAGGTAAATCATCAGAAATATGAATATCTACCTGTCCATTTTCTCCAGAGTCTTTATCACTCACACTAACAACTGCAATTACTGTATTTACAGGTACATCCTCTTTAACTGGACTTGTGAATGACTTTATGGAAATTTCAGGATGATTGTCATTCATATCTGTGATTAAAATCTTTACTTTGCACTTTCCAGAGAGACTATTAGCTGCTTTATCTGTTGCTATAATTTCCATATCATAGATCCTGAAATCCTCATAATTAATCATTTCTTTCACTCTGATTTCACCATTGTTAGGATTCAGACTGAATGTTTGCTGCGTTTTCTCTGATGTATACAAACTAAAAGAGTAAAGTAATTCTGAATTTGATCCCTCGTCTTTATCTGTGGCGTTTAATTTCACTACAAGGCTTCCAGTAGGCGAGTTTTCTGTTAGATTTATAGTATAACTGTCTTTATCGAATTGAGGGGCGTTGTCATTAGTGTCCAGAACGCGCACAATAATGCTAGCCGTGCCAGAGCGCGCGGGGACTCCTCCATCCACAGCAGTGAGGATCAGATTATGTGAAGCTTGTTCTTCTCTGTCTAATGGCTTTTTTAGGATCAAATCAGCAAATTTTGATCCGTCTCTCCCTGTTTGTAATTCAATGTCAAAATGTTCGCTCTCACTCAAATAATACGTTTTTACCGAATTCGAGCCAATATCAGGATCCACCGCATTACTGAGCGAGAATCTCTCTCCGGCTGCTGTAGATTCTGATATATCGAGATGGATCGTATCTCTGCGAAACTGGGGAGCATTATCATTTATATCCACAATTTCAATTTCAATGTTAAACATTCGCACAGGATTCTCGAGTGTGACTTCCATTTTGATAAAGCATGTTGTTGCTGTTTTTGTTGTACAGAGATATTCTCTATCCATCTTTTCTAAAATGTAGAGCTCTCCTGTCTCTTTATTAACATTGAGATATTTTTTGTTAGATATAATATCAAGCCTCATTTTTCGTCTGCTCAGTGTTTTCACATCCAGATCCAAATCTGAGGCTAAATTAGCCACAACAGAGCCTTCCTCCATTTCTTCTGGGATAGAATAGTGCGTAACAGAGGACGCGGTGTCCAAAATAGCGGAGAAAAACAGAAGGACCATTACATACCTCCAAAACTGTGACTTTACCAATCCCTCCATTCTGCAGCTTTTGAAATATTTGTATTCCTCGTGATAATGAAATGATCAAGAAACGGACAGGACACACTGCGAAGCTCTTGTCATGGCGCGCTCCTTTGTGCGATTTCCACCTATGGAAATCTGTCATGGCGATTGTGAAAATATGACCAAAAACGTTTTCTTAGAGAACAGCGACGCTCAGTGAGTTTGGCCAGAACATACACAATAAGAAGAGAACAGCCTTGTGTACAAAAAGTATTCTTCGATTTTACGCGTTATTTGTATTTTATTATGCTTTTTGCTAATTTAGATTCCCGAGAAAATGTGTGACAATAAGCCTCAAAATAACAAATGCAAAGGACAAAAACAGACTTTGTTAAACTAATATTGATAATTGAGAACACATTAAATTATTTAAAATATGAGAGACAAAATACTCTGACATTTGTTTAACCTGAGAAACAAGAAGAATGCTGTACAGGGGCGCATGCACCACCTCTTCTCTAAAAATCTGAGAGAAAATTGAGCGTGAAACGTTATGTAAATATCTCTTTGATTATTCACGTGGATTGTCTTACCTGTAGAGTAGAAGCAGCTGAGTCACTGGTCTCGGTCACTCCTGTGCTCCTCGGTAAACTGGACACGACGTATCTCGCTCCCTTTGGCGCAGGCTGTCTGACCACCAGCTTTCCTTTCCTCGTCTCTGCTAGAAATAAACTGTACCAGTAGGCATCGTTGGAGACCAGAGTGGAATCCGCGATGGTCGAGTTCCTCTCGCTGATCACACTGTTCCTGCACGGAGGAGCCGCTTTGCTGGGCTTCGCTTTCTGACACTTCAGCACGATGGTCACCAGTATAGTGATGAGTAAAAGAAATGAGACAGAGCCCAGGCCGATCACCAGATACAGGTTTAGATCTGAGAAGATGTCATATTCCAAAGGCACCTCAGTATAGGTTTTGAGGGCGGTCTCCACCGTGGACAGTTTGATGGTGACTGTAGCAGAGAGCGCGGGCTCTCCGTTGTCTTTGGCGATCACCACCAGCCGCTGGTCTCGCGAGTCTCTGTAACTGAACATTCTCATGGTCCGGATCTCTCCGTTGTATTGATCCAAGTTGAATAACGTGGCGTCGGTGTTCTGGAGGAACTGGTACGTGATTCGAGAGTTGTGCACTGAGTCAGAGTCTATGGCGATGACTTTGGCTATCAGAGTTCCTTTATCTGTGGATCTCGGGATCTTTTCCTTCACCTCCGAGCCGTGCGCGCGCCATGGAGACACTATAAGCGGTGTGTTGTCGTTCTGATCCATGATAATAATGTGAACGGTCACGTTACTGCTGAGTGGAGGAACACCAGAGTCTCTGGCCTCGATGTGGAAAAGAAACTCCTTCTCCATCTCATAGTCAAAGGTCTTTAGCGCGTAAAGATTACCGTTCTCTGGGTTAATGGAGAACAGCATGGACATGGAGGTGTTCACTATTTCCTTCTCTATTATAAAATAAACTAGATACTGATTTTCATGGAGATCTGGGTCTACAGCAGTTAAAGAGCTCAGTGAAGCTCCAGGCGCGTTATTCTCCATAACAGGTATCGTGTAGAATGTCTGCGGGAACTGAGGAACATTGTCATTAACGTCCAGTAGCTCTAAAGTTATAGTTTCATTATCAGATAACGGCGGGTTGCCCCTGTCAGTGACGGTAATAGTGATGTCATATTCTGCAACCTTTTCACGGTCTAACGGTTCTGAAATTAATAATTCATAATAATTATCAGATGATTCTTTAAGTGCAAAAGGTAAATCATCAGAAATATGAATATCTACCTGTCCATTTTCTCCAGAGTCTTTATCACTCACACTAACAACTGCAATTACTGTATTTACAGGCACATCTTCTTTAACTGGACTTGTGAATGATTTTATAGAAATTTCAGGATGATTATCATTCATATCTGTGATTAAAATCTTTACTTTGCACTTTCCAGAGAGACTATTAGCTGCTTTATCTGTTGCTATAATTTCCATATCATAGATCCTGAAATCCTCATAATTAATCATTTCTTTCACTCTGATTTCACCATTGTTAGGATTCAGACTGAATGTTTGCTGCGTTTTCTCTGATGTATACAAACTAAAAGAGTAAAGTAATTCTGAATTTAATCCCTCGTCTTTATCTGTGGCGTTTAATTTCACTACAAGGCTTCCAGTAGGCGAGTTTTCTGTTAGATTTATAGTATAACTGTCTTTATCGAACTGAGGGGCGTTGTCATTAGTGTCCAGAACGCGCACAATAATGCTAGCCGTGCCAGAGCGCGCGGGGACTCCTCCATCCACAGCAGTGAGGATCAAATTATGTATTGCATGTTGTTCTCTATCCAAAGCTTTTTTAAGAATCAAATCCGTGAATTTCGATCCATCCCGTCCGGTTTGAATCTCGATAGAAAAATGATCGCTTTCACTGAGATAGTATGTTTTAATTGAATTAACACCGATATCAGGATCCACAGCATTGTTTAAAGAGAATCGTTCTCCCACAGGCGTTGACTCTGAAATGTCCAAATGCATCGTGTCCCTTCTAAAATGAGGAGCATTGTCGTTAATATCAACAATTTCTAGCTCAATGTTAAACATTCGTACAGGGTTATCGATTGTGGCATCCAGTTTAAGAACACACGTTGTTCCAGACTTGGTTGTGCAAATGTGTTCACGATCGATTCTCTCGACAATGAACAGATCTCCCGTTTCTTTGTTAATATCCAGATATTTTTTATTTGCTACAGTGTCGAGACGAATCTTGCGTCTGCTCAAGGTTTCAACATCCAATCCCAGATCCGTTGCCAAATTAGCCACTATAGATCCCTCATCCAATTCTTCAGGTATAGAATAATGAGTAACAGAAGATGCTGTATTCAGCAGAGAGATTAAAATGATGACGAACACGTACCTTTTCAATGCCTTGCTTTTCATTCGAGATTCCATTTTTTTCCTTTGAGTTATAATCCAGTGATCATGAAATGTAAAACAAATAGCATGCGGTTACGAATGTAACATTTTGATGATCAGGAAGCAGAACAAGCGTTTCGCGGTTCATGGAAGAAGAGAGCATATACCGCTTTCTGCCAACAAAGCAGATACGTCACCAGCATTGGCAGTAATGAAAGATAAACGCAGAGGAGTCGTTTTGATGGAAAACAGCGACGCTGTGCGCATTGGTTTGTGTGGCACATATAAAGAGTAATTTTAGTGTTAAAATACAAATACTCTGAAAAACGCAATATATCAAATAAAACCGGTTTCACGGGATATAGATTTTAAATCAAGTCACAACACTGTCAAAGTACACAATTCATGGGTATTTGAATAAGATAAAATAACCCAAGAATGGAAATTATTTTCACAACATAAACATTTTGTCTAAAAGCTCAAACAGAAGCATAAAAGAAAGAAAGAGGGGGGTACTTATTATTCTTACCTGTAGAGTAGAAGCGGCTGAGTCGCTGGTCTCGGTCACTCCTGTGCTCCTCGGTAAACTGGACACGATGTATCTCGCTCCCTTTGGCGCAGGCTGTCTGACCACCAGCTTTCCTTTCCTCGTCTCTGCTAGAAATAAACTGTACCAGTAGGCATCGTTGGAGACCAGAGTGGAATCCGCGATGGTCGAGTTCCTCTCGCTGATCACACTGTTCCTGCACGGAGGAGCCGCTTTGCTGGGCTTCGCTTTCTGACACTTCAGCACGATGGTCACCAGTATAGTGATGAGTAAAAGAAATGAGACAGAGCCCAGGCCGATCACCAGATACAGGTTTAGATCTGAGAAGATGTCATATTCCAAAGGCACCTCAGTATAGGTTTTGAGGGCGGTCTCCACCGTGGACAGTTTGATGGTGACTGTAGCAGAGAGCGCGGGCTCTCCGTTGTCTTTGGCGATCACCACCAGCCGCTGGTCTCGCGAGTCTCTGTAACTGAACATTCTCATGGTCCGGATCTCTCCGTTGTATTGATCCAAGCTGAACAACGTGGCGTCGGTGTTCTGGAGGAACTGGTACGTGATTCGAGAGTTGTGCACTGAGTCAGAGTCTATGGCGATGACTTTGGCTATCAGAGTTCCTTTATCTGTGGATCTCGGGATCTTTTCCTTCACCTCCGAGCCGTGCGCGCGCCATGGAGACACTATAAGCGGTGTGTTGTCGTTCTGATCCATGATAATAATGTGAACGGTCACGTTACTGCTGAGCGGAGGAACACCAGAGTCTCTGGCCTCGATGTGGAAAAGAAACTCCTTCTCCATCTCATAGTCAAAGGTCTTTAGCGCGTAAAGATTACCGTTCTCTGGGTTAATGGAGAACAGCATGGACATGGAGGTGTTCACTATTTCCTTCTCTATTATAAAATAAACTAGATACTGATTTTCATGGAGATCTGGGTCTACAGCAGTTAAAGAGCTCAGTGAAGCTCCAGGCGCGTTATTCTCCATAACAGGTATCGTGTAGAATGTCTGCGGGAACTGAGGAACATTGTCATTAACGTCCAGTAGCTCTAAAGTTATAGTTTCATTATCAGATAACGGCGGGTTCCCCCTGTCAGTGACGGTAATAGTGATGTCATATTCTGCAACCTTTTCACGGTCTAACGGTTCTGAAATTAATAATTCATAATAATTATCAGATGATTCTTTAAGCGCAAAAGGTAAATCATCAGAAATATGAATATCTACCTGTCCATTTTCTCCTGAGTCTTTATCACTCACACTAACAACTGCAATTACTGTATTTACAGGTACATCTTCTTTAACTGGACTTGTGAATGATTTTATGGAAATTTCAGGATGATTGTCGTTCATATCTGTCACTAAAATCTTTACTTTACACTTTCCAGAGAGACTATTAGCTGCTTTATCTGTTGCTATAATTTCCATATCATAGATCCTGAAATCCTCATAATTAATCATTTCTTTCACTCTGATTTCACCATTGTTAGGATTCAGACTGAATGTTTGCTGCGTTTTCTCTGATGTATACAAACTAAATGAGTAAAGTAAATCTGAATTTAATCCCTCGTCTTTATCTGTGGCGTTTAATTTCACTACAAGGCTTCCAGTAGGCGAGTTTTCTGTTAGATTTATAGTATAACTGTCTTTATCGAACTGAGGGGCGTTGTCATTAGTGTCCAGAACGCGCACAATAATGCTAGCCGTGCCAGAGCGCGCGGGGACTCCTCCATCCACAGCAGTGAGGATCAGATTATGTAAAGCTTGTTCTTCTCTGTCTAAATTCTTTTTCAGAATCAAATCAGCAAATTTTGATCCGTCTCTCCCTGTTTGTATTTCAATGTCAAAATGTTCGCTCTCACTCAAATAATACGTTTTTATCGAATTTGAGCCAATATCAGGATCCACCGCATTACTGAGCGAGAATCTCTCTCCGGCTGCTGTAGATTCTGATATATCCAGACTGATTGAATCCCTCCAAAACTGGGGAGCATTATCATTTATATCCACAATTTCAATTTCAATGTTAAACATTCGCACAGGATTCTCGAGTGTGACTTCCATTTTGATAAAACATGTTGTTTTTGATATACAGAGATATTCTCTATCCATCTTTTCTAAAATGTAGAGCTCTCCTGTCTCTTTGTTGACATCGAGATATTTTTTGTTAGACCTAATATCGAGTCGCATTTTTCGTCTGCTCAGTGTTTTCACATCCAGATCCAAATCTGACGCTAAATTAGCCACAACAGAGCCTTCCTCCATTTCTTCTGGGATAGAATAGTGCGTAACAGAGGACGCGGTGTCCAAAATAGCGGAGAAAAACAGAATGACCATTACATACCTCCAAAACTGTGACTTTACCAATCCCTCCATTCTGCAGCGTTTGAAATATTTGTATTCCTCGTGATAATGAAATGATCAAGAAACGAACAGGACACACGGAGCTCTTGTCATGGCGTGCTCCTTTGTGCGATTTCCACCTATGGAAATCTGTCATGGCGATTGTGAAAATATGACCAAAAACGTTTTCTTAGAGAACAGCGACGCTCAGTGAGTTTGGCCTGAACATACACAATAAGAGGAGAACAACTTTCTGTACAAGAAGTATTCTTTTATTTTACGCGTTATTTGTATTTTTCTGTTTTAGATTCCCGAGAAATGTGTGTTAATAATTCTCAAAATAGCACATCCAAAATACAAAAACAGACTTTGTAAAACAAATATTGATAATTGAGAAGAAATTAAATGAATTCAAATATGAGAGAAAAAAATGCTCTGACATTTTCTAAACCTGAGAAAAAAGCAGAATGCTGTACAGGGGCGCATGCACCACCTCTTCTCTAAAAATCTGAGAGAAAATTGAGCGTGAAACGTTATGTAAATATCTCTTTGATTATTCACGTGGATTGTCTTACCTGTAGAGTAGAAGCGGCTGAGTCACTGGTCTCGGTCACTCCTGTGCTCCTCGGTAAACTGGACACGATGTATCTCGCTCCCTTTGGCGCAGGCTGTCTGACCACCAGCTTTCCTTTCCTCGTCTCTGCTAGAAATAAACTGTACCAGTAGGCATCGTTGGAGACCAGAGTGGAATCCGCGATGGTCGAGTTCCTCTCGCTGATCACACTGTTCCTGCACGGAGGAGCCGCTTTGCTGGGCTTCGCTTTCTGACACTTCAGCACGATGGTCACCAGTATAGTGATGAGTAAAAGAAATGAGACAGAGCCCAGGCCGATCACCAGATACAGGTTTAGATCTGAGAAGATGTCATATTCCAAAGGCACCTCAGTATAGGTTTTGAGGGCGGTCTCCACCGTGGACAGTTTGATGGTGACTGTAGCAGAGAGCGCGGGCTCTCCGTTGTCTTTGGCGATCACCACCAGCCGCTGGTCTCGCGAGTCTCTGTAACTGAACATTCTCATGGTCCGGATCTCTCCGTTGTATTGATCCAAGCTGAATAACGTGGCGTCGGTGTTCTGGAGGAACTGGTACGTGATTCGAGAGTTGTGCACTGAGTCAGAGTCTATGGCGATGACTTTGGCTATCAGAGTTCCTTTATCTGTGGATCTCGGGATCTTTTCCTTCACCTCCGAGCCGTGCGCGCGCCATGGAGACACTATAAGCGGTGTGTTGTCGTTCTGATCCATGATAATAATGTGAACGGTCACGTTACTGCTGAGTGGAGGAACACCAGAGTCTCTGGCCTCGATGTGGAAAAGAAACTCCTTCTCCATCTCATAGTCAAAGGTCTTTAGCGCGTAAAGATTGCCGTTCTCTGGGTTAATGGAGAACAGCATGGACATGGAGGTGTTCACTATTTCCTTCTCTATTATAAAATAAACTAGATACTGATTTTCATGGAGATCTGGGTCTACAGCAGTTAAAGAGCTCAGTGAAGCTCCAGGCGCGTTATTCTCCATAACAGGTATCGTGTAGAATGTCTGCGGGAACTGAGGAACATTGTCATTAACGTCCAGTAGCTCTAAAGTTATAGTTTCATTATCAGATAACGGCGGGTTGCCCCTGTCAGTAACGGTAATAGTGATGTCATATTCTGCAACCTTTTCACGGTCTAACGGTTCTGAAATGAATAATTCATAATAATTATCAGATGATTCTTTAAGCGCAAAAGGTAAATCATCAGAAATATGAATATCTACCTGTCCATTTTCTCCAGAGTCTTTATCACTCACACTAACAACTGCAATTACTGTATTTACAGGAACATCTTCTTTAACTGGACTCTGAAATGACCTAATCGAAATTTCAGGGTGATTGTCATTCATGTCTGTAATTATAATAGATAATTTACATTGGCCGGATAATGGATGAGTTCCTTTATCTGATGCTATAACTTCCATATCGTAAATTCGAAAGTCTTCATAATTAACCATCTCTTTCACTCGAATTTCACCACTCTCAGGATTTAAACTGAATGCTTTCTGTGTCTTCTCAGATGTATAGAGACTAAATGAATACACAAGGTCGGCATTAGAACCCTCATCTAGATCTGTTGCGTTTAATTTAACGACCAGGCTCCCTATGGGTGAGTTTTCAGTTAAATTGATGATGTAGCTCTCCTCAAATTTAGGGGCGTTGTCATTTGCATCCAACACCCGAACGATGATACTGGCCGTGCCTGAACGCGGAGGGACTCCGCCATCCACTGCGGTCAGTACCAGATTATGAACAGCTTGGGTTTCACGATCTAGAGCCTTTTTTAGAATTAAATCCGCAAATTTGGAACCGTCCCTCCCCGACTGAATTTCAATGTCAAAGTGCTCATTTTTGCTTAGATAATAGGTTTTAACCGAGTTGGAACCGACATCAGAATCCACCGCATTACTGACAGAAAATCGCTCACCTGCTGGCGTAGATTCAGTGATATCTAAATTGATTGTGTCTCGTCTAAAATTAGGGTTATTATCATTTATGTCAGTGATTTCTAGCTCTATGTAAAATATTCGCACGGGGTTCTCGACAATAACTTCCATTTTTAAAAAACAAGTAGTTTTTGCAGGACACAGATATTCACGATCAATCTTCTCTTGTATGTACAGCTCACCTTTTTCTTTGTTTATGGCGAGGTATTTCTTATTAGCGATCACATCTAAACGGACGTTTCGTTTAATCAAAGTCTGCAGGTCAAGCCCCAAATCAGTGGCTAAATTTGCCACGACAGATCCTACTTCCATCTCCTCTGGAACAGAATAATGATTAACAGCCAGAGCCAAATGAAAAACCGCTGATAGAAGAAAAAACAGTGAGACATACCTCCTCCATGACCAGGCGTTCAAAGCAGAATCCATTGTCTGATCAAGTGATTATGATGCAAGGACAGTTCATCTAGCAACAAAGCATTGGATTTGACTCCAAAAAATGAGATGCAGAAAGAACTGTTAAAAAAGGGATAAAAGACGAAAAGTTTCCTCGATATACACCGCAATATTTAGTCTAAAACCAGAGACGCACAAAACAAGGGTTCTTCGCAAAATGGCCAACTGTGATAGTGACGTTGAAATTACGCTCACAATGATAGCCTATACTTTGTGAGATATAATTTGTGAAACCACAGCGCCACTTTGCGCACACACAGTGAGGTGCCTCAAAATTGTGCACAAGTTGTTAAAATATACACTGACAATCTATTCATGTATCTATATTTTTTTTATAATCTATTGTTTACATAGTTTAAAAAAATAAAAGTACAATTATTTAAATATTCTTACCTCAGAATTTGTGCTTCATAAGTAATAATGCATGTGAAAAAAGTATTTAAAAAATAAGCTATAATATGTGATCTTACCTGTAGAGTAGATGCGGCTGAGTCGCTGGTCTCGGTCACTCCTGTGCTCCTCGGTAAACTGGACACGATGTATCTCGCTCCCTTTGGCGCAGGCTGTCTGACCACCAGCTTTCCTTTCCTCGTCTCTGCTAGAAATAAACTGTACCAGTAGGCATCGTTGGAGACCAGAGTGGAATCCGCGATGGTCGAGTTCCTCTCGCTGATCACACTGTTCCTGCACGGAGGAGCCGCTTTGCTGGGCTTCGCTTTCTGACACTTCAGCACGATGGTCACCAGTATAGTGATGAGTAAAAGAAATGAGACAGAGCCCAGGCCGATCACCAGATACAGGTTTAGATCTGAGAAGATGTCATATTCCAAAGGCACCTCAGTATAGGTTTTGAGGGCGGTCTCCACCGTGGACAGTTTGATGGTGACTGTAGCAGAGAGCGCGGGCTCTCCGTTGTCTTTGGCGATCACCACCAGCCGCTGGTCTCGCGAGTCTCTGTAACTGAACATTCTCATGGTCCGGATCTCTCCGTTGTATTGATCCAAGCTGAATAACGTGGCGTCGGTGTTCTGGAGGAACTGGTACGTGATTCGAGAGTTGTGCACTGAGTCAGAGTCTATGGCGATGACTTTGGCTATCAGAGTTCCTTTATCGGTGGATCTCGGGATCTTTTCCTTCACCTCCGAGCCGTGCGCGCGCCATGGAGACACTATAAGCGGTGTGTTGTCGTTCTGATCCATGATAATAATGTGAACGGTCACGTTACTGCTGAGCGGAGGAACACCAGAGTCTCTGGCCTCGATGTGGAAAAGAAACTCCTTCTCCATCTCATAGTCAAAGGTCTTTAGCGCGTAAAGATTACCGTTCTCTGGGTTAATGGAGAACAGCATGGACATGGAGGTGTTCACTATTTCCTTCTCTATTATAAAATAAACTAGATACTGATTTTCATGGAGATCTGGGTCTACAGCAGTTAAAGAGCTCAGTGAAGCTCCAGGCGCGTTATTCTCCATAACAGGTATCGTGTAGAATGTCTGCGGGAACTGAGGAACATTGTCATTAACGTCCAGTAGCTCTAAAGTTATAGTTTCATTATCAGATAACGGCGGGTTGCCCCTGTCAGTGACGGTAATAGTGATGTCATATTCTGCAACCTTTTCACGGTCTAACGGTTCTGAAATTAATAATTCATAATAATTATCAGATGATTCTTTAAGAGCAAAAGGTAAATCATCAGAAATATGAATATCTACCTGTCCATTTTCTCCAGAGTCTTTATCACTCACACTAACAACTGCAATTACTGTATTTACAGGTACATCTTCTTTAACTGGACTCTGAAATGACCTAATCGAAATTTCAGGGTGATTGTCATTCATGTCTGTAATTATAATAGATAATTTACATTGGCCGGATAATGGATGAGTTCCTTTATCTGATGCTATAACTTCCATATCGTAAATTCGAAAGTCTTCATAATTAACCATCTCTTTCACTCGAATTTCACCACTCTCAGGATTTAAACTGAATGCTTTCTGTGTCTTCTCAGATGTATAGAGACTAAATGAATACACAAGGTCGGCGTTAGAACCCTCATCTAGATCTGTTGCGTTTAATTTAACGACCAGGCTCCCTATGGGTGAGTTTTCAGTTAAATTGATGATGTAGCTCTCCTGATCAAATTTAGGGGCGTTGTCATTTGCATCCAACACCCGAACGATGATACTGGCCGTGCCTGAACGCGGAGGGACTCCGCCATCCACTGCGGTCAGTACCAGATTATGAACAGCTTGGGTTTCACGATCTAGAGCCTTTTTTAGAATTAAATCCGCAAATTTGGAACCGTCCCTCCCCGACTGAATTTCAATGTCAAAGTGCTCATTTTTGCTTAGATAATAGGTTTTAACCGAGTTGGAACCGACATCAGAATCCACCGCATTACTGACAGAAAATCGCTCACCTGCTGGCGTAGATTCAGTGATATCTAAATTGACTGTGTCTCGTCTAAAATTAGGGTTATTATCATTTATGTCAGTGATTTCTAGCTCTATGTAAAATATTCGCACGGGGTTCTCGACAATAACTTCCATTTTTAAAAAACAAGTCGTAGTCGTTTTTGCAGGACACAGATATTCACGATCAATCTTCTCTTGTATGTACAGCTCACCTCTTTCTTTGTTTATGGCGAGGTATTTCTTATTAGCGATCACATCTAAACGGACGTTTCGTTTAATCAAAGTCTGCAGGTCAAGCCCCAAATCAGTGGCTAAATTTGCCACGACAGATCCTACTTCCATCTCCTCTGGAACAGAATAATGATTAACAGCCAGAGCCAAATGAAAAACCGCTGATAGAAGAAAAAACAGCGAGACATACCTCCTCCATGACCAGGCGTTCAAAGCAGAATCCATTGTCTGATCAAGTGATTATGATGCAAGGACAGTTCATCTAGCAACAAAGCATTGGATTTGACTCCAAAAAATGAGATGCAGAAAGAACTGTTAAAAAAGGGATAAAAGACGAAAAGTTTCCTCGATATACACCGCAATATTTAGTCTAAAACCAGAGACGCACAAAACAAGGGTTCTTCGCAAAATGGCCAACTGTGATAGTGACGTTGAAATTACGCTCACAATGATAGCCTATACTTTGTGAGATATAATTTGTGAAACCACAGCGCCACTTTGCGCACACACAGTGAGGTGCCTCAAAATTGTGCACAAGTTATTTAAATATACACTGACAATCTATTCATGTATCTATATTTTTTATAATCTATTGTTTTCATAGTTTAAAAAATAAAAGTACAATTATTTAAATATTCTTACCTCAGAATTTGTGCTTCATAAGTAATAATGCATGTGAAAAAAGTGTATAAAAAATAAGCTATAATATGTGATCTTACCTGTAGAGTAGATGCGGCTGAGTCGCTGGTCTCGGTCACTCCTGTGCTCCTCGGTAAACTGGACACGATGTATCTCGCTCCCTTTGGCGCAGGCTGTCTGACCACCAGCTTTCCTTTCCTCGTCTCTGCTAGAAATAAACTGTACCAGTAGGCATCGTTGGAGACCAGAGTGGAATCCGCGATGGTCGAGTTCCTCTCGCTGATCACACTGTTCCTGCACGGAGGAGCCGCTTTGCTGGGCTTCGCTTTCTGACACTTCAGCACGATGGTCACCAGTATAGTGATGAGTAAAAGAAATGAGACAGAGCCCAGGCCGATCACCAGATACAGGTTTAGATCTGAGAAGATGTCATATTCCAAAGGCACCTCAGTATAGGTTTTGAGGGCGGTCTCCACCGTGGACAGTTTGATGGTGACTGTAGCAGAGAGCGCGGGCTCTCCGTTGTCTTTGGCGATCACCACCAGCCGCTGGTCTCGCGAGTCTCTGTAACTGAACATTCTCATGGTCCGGATCTCTCCGTTGTATTGATCCAAGCTGAACAACGTGGCGTCGGTGTTCTGGAGGAACTGGTACGTGATTCGAGAGTTGTGCACTGAGTCAGAGTCTATGGCGATGACTTTGGCTATCAGAGTTCCTTTATCTGTGGATCTCGGGATCTTTTCCTTCACCTCCGAGCCGTGCGCGCGCCATGGAGACACTATAAGCGGTGTGTTGTCGTTCTGATCCATGATAATAATGTGAACGGTCACGTTACTGCTGAGCGGAGGAACACCAGAGTCTCTGGCCTCGATGTGGAAAAGAAACTCCTTCTCCATCTCATAGTCAAAGGTCTTTAGCGCGTAAAGATTACCGTTCTCTGGGTTAATGGAGAACAGCATGGACATGGAGGTGTTCACTATTTCCTTCTCTATTATAAAATAAACTAGATACTGATTTTCATGTAGATCTGGGTCTACAGCAGTTAAAGAGCTCAGTGAAGCTCCAGGCGCGTTATTCTCCATAACAGGTATCGTGTAGAATGTCTGCGGGAACTGAGGAACATTGTCATTAACGTCCAGTAGCTCTAAAGTTATAGTTTCATTATCAGATAACGGCGGGTTGCCCCTGTCAGTGACGGTAAGAGTGATGTCATATTCTGCAACCTTTTCACGGTCTAACGGTTCTGAAATTAATAATTCATAATAATTATCAGATGATTCTTTGAGAGCAAAAGGTAAATCATCAGAAATATGAATATCTACCTGTCCATTTTCTCCTGAGTCTTTATCACTCACACTAACAACTGCAATTACTGTATTTACAGGTACATCTTCTTTAACTGGACTCTGAAATGACCTAATCGAAATTTCAGGGTGATTATCGTTCATATCTGTGATCAAAATGGTTAGTTTACATTTTCCAGAGAGACTATTAGATCCTTTATCGGTGGCTATTATCTCCATATCATATATTTTGAAATCTTCATAATTAATCATCTCTTTAACTCGAATTTCACCCGTTTCTGAATTCAATTTAAACGTATCTTGTGTTTTCTCAGATGTATATAAACTAAATGTGTATATTATTTCAGAATTTTGCCCTTCATCTAAATCTGTTGCGTTGAGCTTAACAACAAGACTTTCTATTGGATAATTTTCACTTAAATGCACAGTATAACTGTCTTTATCGAATTGAGGGGCGTTGTCGTTTGTGTCCAACACTTGGACAATAATGTTAGCTGTACCAGAGCGCGCGGGGACTCCTCCATCCACAGCAGTGAGGATCAGATTATGAACTGCTTTCTCTTCGCGATCTAATGCCTTTTTCAGCACTAAATCAGCTAGTTTAGACCCATCTCTACCAGACTGTATTTCTATAGTAAAATGCTCGCTTTCACTAAGATAGTAAGTCTTAATTGAATTAGACCCAATGTCGGCGTCCACTGCATTGTTGAGTGAGAAACGCTCTCCGGCTGGTGTCGATTCTGAAATGTCTAAATGCATGACATCTCGTCGAAAGTGGGGTGCATTGTCGTTGATATCTAATATTTCTAATTCAATGTTAAACATTCTAATTGGGTTTTCGATTGTAGCATCGAGCTTCAGAAAACAAGAATTTGTCGTTTTGGAAGGGCAGAGATATTCTCTGTCTATTCTTTCGACGATAAACAGCTCTCCTGTTTCTTTATTTATATCCAGATATTTTTTATTTGCTATCACATCTAAGCGCATCTTGCGTTTTGTCAGACTCTGTACATCCAAATCAAGATCAGCGGCTAAATTTGCAACAACAGATCCTACCTCCATTTCCTCGGGAATAGAGTAGTGAGTAACAGCAAATCCCGAGTTCAATACGGAAAAGATGATCTGGAATAACAAAACGTACCTTTTCCATTTTTGTGTGTCCATACACGGTGCCATTTTTATTCAATATACAAGTCCAGTATAATCCAACCACGTAAACGAAATTGTAAATGAAGGACGCAGAGGAACAAAGAGGCGTACAAAGAGAGGAAGGAGAGATGATCACCCACTATAGCTGTAGACTGTGACGTTATAATGGCGACCAGTAAGTCATTTCCATCTTGTGTATTGCTAGACAACAGCGACACTTTGTGCACGATGTAAAAACAACACGTTTAATATAAAGCCAACTCAGCTGATTTATTTTACATTGAAGAGTGAATATAGAATATTGTTGGTGGGCAATAAATAATGTATCATTCATACCATATTTGTTTTGTTTGAGCCATCATTTGTCATTTTGAATTAAATAGCATTCATACATAGCATGATTTTATTTTCAGTTATATTTTTATAATAGTTTATTTGCTTACCTGTAGAGTAGATGCGGCTGAGTCGCTGGTCTCGGTCACTCCTGTGCTCCTCGGTAAACTGGACACGATGTATCTCGCTCCCTTTGGCGCAGGCTGTCTGACCACCAGCTTTCCTTTCCTCGTCTCTGCTAGAAATAAACTGTACCAGTAGGCATCGTTGGAGACCAGAGTGGAATCCGCGATGGTCGAGTTCCTCTCGCTGATCACACTGTTCCTGCACGGAGGAGCCGCTTTGCTGGGCTTCGCTTTCTGACACTTCAGCACGATGGTCACCAGTATAGTGATGAGTAAAAGAAATGAGACAGAGCCCAGGCCGATCACCAGATACAGGTTTAGATCTGAGAAGATGTCATATTCCAAAGGCACCTCAGTATAGGTTTTGAGGGCGGTCTCCACCGTGGACAGTTTGATGGTGACTGTAGCAGAGAGCGCGGGCTCTCCGTTGTCTTTGGCGATCACCACCAGCCGCTGGTCTCGCGAGTCTCTGTAACTGAACATTCTCATGGTCCGGATCTCTCCGTTGTATTGATCCAAGCTGAATAACGTGGCGTCGGTGTTCTGGAGGAACTGGTACGTGATTCGAGAGTTGTGCACTGAGTCAGAGTCTATGGCGATGACTTTGGCTATCAGAGTTCCTTTATCTGTGGATCTCGGGATCTTTTCCTTCACCTCCGAGCCGTGCGCGCGCCATGGAGACACTATAAGCGGTGTGTTGTCGTTCTGATCCATGATAATAATGTGAACGGTCACGTTACTGCTGAGCGGAGGAACACCAGAGTCTCTGGCCTCGATGTGGAAAAGAAACTCCTTCTCCATCTCATAGTCAAAGGTCTTTAGCGCGTAAAGATTACCGTTCTCTGGGTTAATGGAGAACAACATGGACATGGAGGTGTTCACTATTTCCTTCTCTATTATAAAATAAACTAGATACTGATTTTCATGGAGATCTGGGTCTACAGCAGTTAAAGAGCTCAGTGAAGCTCCAGGCGCGTTATTCTCCATAACAGGTATCGTGTAGAATGTCTGCGGGAACTGCGGTGCGTTATCATTGACATCTAGTAAATGCACCGTTATAGTTTCATTATCAGATAAGGGAGGATTCCCTTCATCGGTCACAACCAGCATGATCTCATATTCTGGGACCTTTTCACGATCTAACGTTTCTGACACCAATAACTCGTACAGGTAGTCAGAGGACTTGTTTAAAATAAACGGTAAGGACTTGTTCATTGTAAGATTTACTTTACCGTTATCTTCAGTGTCTCTGTCACTAACACCCACCAGAGCTATAACAGAGCCGACTGGGATGTTTTCGTCCACGGTGTTCTTAAGGGATTTTATGGTTATCTCGGGATAGTTATCGTTCATATCTTTAACGTACACAGTCACTCTGCATTGACCGGAGAGCGGAACGGGGCCATTGTCTTTAGCCTCAACGAACATTTCAAATATTTTCATATCTTCATAATCAATTGTGCCCTTAACTGCTATTTCGCCAGTATTTGAATTCAACGAGAACATCTCCTGCGTTTTTTCAGAAGTATAAAGCGTAAATGAGTATGTAAGGTCAGCGTTTGGGCCTTCATCAGCATCAGTAGCGTTTAATTTAATAACAACAGTGCCAGCTGGAGAATTTTCGCTCATATTCAGAGAGTAAACTGCCTGATCAAACTGAGGGGCGTTGTCATTTGTATCTTGCACGCGCACAATAATATTAGCTGTGCCAGAGCGCGCAGGGACTCCGCCATCAATTGCAGTGAGAATCAGATTATGAACAGCCTTCTCTTCTCTGTCTAAAGCCTTCATGAGGACCAAATCGACATATTTTGTACCATCGCTTCCAGAATGTATATCAACAGTGAAATGTTCACTTTCACTTAATTTATAGGTCTTGACTGTATTGGCACCAACGTCTGGGTCAAACGCATTGGGCAAAGAGAATCTTTCTCCCGGTGACGCGGACTCTGAGACATCTAATTCAATCCTGTCTCTTCGGAAATGAGGAGCGTTATCGTTAATGTCTGTGATGCCCAATTCAATATTGAACATACGCAATGGGCTTTCAATTATTAGGTCTAATTTTAAGAAGCACGTTATAGTTTTTGTTGGGCACAGAGTTTCCCTGTCCATTTTTTCAACAATAAATAGCTCGCCAGTCCTTTTATTAACATCAAGATATTTTTTGTTATGGAAAATATCAAGTTTTACCTCTCTCTGTGCCAGTTCACTAACATCCAGACCCAAATCAGCAGCCAGATTTGCAACGACAGACCCGCGCTCCATCTCCTCCGGTATAGAATAGCGCGTCACAGACAAAGCCGTTTCCCATGTCGCCCAAAGTACAAAGAAAAGCAGAACCCACCGTCTAGCAGGCTTCATCAATCCCAGCAAAAGACACAGCATCATTTAGAAAAGATCAGTCAGATGGAGTTACTAGTCGTGCTGTTCCTTAAAATGCCTCTCGTGTTCAGTCTGCTTTTCTTTTCTTTCTTTTTTAAAATCCCTGTAATCGTTTAAAAACGGTCCCACTGAAAAGGATGCTGTTCTCAGTACCAGGATTCTGGAATATGGCAACGTCCCTTTAAATGAAGTGTGTGTGTGTGTGTGTGTGTGTGTGTGTGTGTGTGTGTGTGTGTGTGTGTGTGTGTGTGTGTGTGTGTGTGTGTGTGTGTGTGTGTGTGTGTGTGTGTGTGTGTGTGTGTGTGTGTGTGTGTGTGTGTGTGTGTGTGTGTGTGTGTGTGTGTGTGTGATTTGCTGACCAACAGCGACACGCTGAGACAGAGACAGGAACTGTATATTTACTGGATGAAAGTAATACATAGAAGAGACGCTCTTGATGATCTTTTGATCTCTCTCTCTCTCTCTCTCTCTCTCTCTCTCTCTCTCTCTCTCTCTCTCTCTCTCTCTCTCTCTCTCTCTCTCTCTCTCTCTCTCTCTCTCTCTCTCTCTCTCTCTCTCTCTCTCTCTCTCTCTCTCTCTTTCTGTGTGTGTGTGTGTGTGTGTGCCTTCTCTTTATTCACCCTTTCTGTATTTCATTGCTGAATACATTTATATAAGATGCTTTGCAGAGCTACTTGTTAGGCCTATATATTTATTTTATTTATTATATATGTATTTATTTGACAAGAATGATACAGAATACCATTATCATGCAGCAGAGGCTAGCTACTCTCTTTTTTGCAAAGTGTAATTTATTAGTCTAAGTTAGATGAATTGGTTACAGCAAGCATGACTGTCTTTCCTATCAGCCATCAAATCCATTACATGTGGATATTGAAATGCATTGTTGGATAAAAAAAAAAGATAAAATAACATCGCTGTAAACAAGCCTGTGTTGCACGAAATCTGATGAAATAATGTTATTCTGTATCATTCCTGTCAAATAAACAAATAGACAAAGACTGGATAGTCATGCTTGCAGTAAACAAATAATTTAGACTGTAATAAAATACACTTTGGCTGCTCATGTCCACATCACTTCTTTACGACATTTTTTGACTTACCTCTCTTTCTGTAAACTTTGGCTGTTTCAAAAATAACACATTCTCTTCTCTCTCTCTCTTTCTCTCTCTCTCTCTCTCTCTCTCTCTCTCTCTCTCTCTCTCTCTCTCTCTCTCTCTCTCTCTCTCTCTCTCTCTCTCTCTCTCTCTCTCTCTCTCTCTCTCTCTCTCTCTCTCTCTCTCTCTCTCTCTCTCTCAGGAATGGAAGTCAGTCAGATGAATACAGGCTCCCTTGAGATTTGAACATTTTCACACATCAAAAAGAGATCTAAGGATTTTAATCCTTATAAACGTGTATTTTTTTCTTTGTCACTTTAGTTTTTGTCTGCATATAGTCCATTTCTCATTTTATCTTCAAGCAGTAAATAATAATTATAATAATAAAATCAAATGGCAGTAAAATGTCAGTGTGACTTGTCAATAATTAAATTCAAAGTTAGTCCACTTTAGGCCTACTCGAAAATACACGTTTTGGTTAAGCTCTGTCTAAATATTCTCAAGACTCAACGCACAAAAATATCATAAACATTTGACAAGGATTGAGTTTGTTAGTTGAATTATTCAACATGTCAATTAAATATTTAAACAACTGAAATCTCTGCAATGTTGCATCTTGGTCATGGTGTATTTTGGACTGAGCAGGTTTGCTGAGAAAAATTGAATAAATTCAATTATTATTTATATTAGTCTTATCATAGGGAGAAAATTGAAAACCCACTGGTCAAACTCAGGCCCCAAACTCAAGAATAGCCTAATATTTGCAATGGAGTAATAGAGTGTTATGTTTTACACTATTCATTTTTAAGTCTTCTAAAAATGGGGAAAGGAGAGAAAAGTTTATGACTACTTACTTTTTTCTTTCCCTCCAAGAAAATGATGTCACTTCTAGCAAGCCATGAGATTTATGGCACGCTGAAGACTTTAAACAGCAAGTGGGAGACTGCAATTTGAGAGACATAAACATATATTCAATGGTTTTACACATAAAAATATGTATCAAAATTAATTGTATTTTATGTCAAAGAGAATAAGTGAATGTATATGCTAATACTCAAAATTGCTAATTTAGAAATATATGCAGTATTAGTATAACCTTTATTTCAAAGTGAAGTTGAGAAAACATGATTGGGGCATGGAATTTAACAAAAATATTCTTAGGTATGAATCATTATGATTTTTTTTTTGTTAATGGGGTAAATTTATGCATAGAAATATTATATTGTGACATAATGTGACATGAAAGTTGATTAATAATTGTATGTTGTGGTCCTTGTGCTTGATGGCATGTGATGCAGGCGACCTCTAGTGGTGTTTTATCAGACTGATTTCCCACTTCTCAGCTGCACATTCATATCATGTCATAATTATATTCTCTGTTTAGATAACGTTTCTTGAAAATTAAATGTTTAAAGTAACAATAAATAAAATTCAAACTCCAAAAGTCTGAGACTACTGGTGAAATGTGGCTATTCTGACCTCTCTCCCTCTCTCTCTCTCACACACACACATTGTGTTTTCATATTTTTTGTGATTTTTTTATAGACATAATTATTTTTATACTGTACAAACTGTATATTCTCTCCCCCACTCTAAAAAATGCTGGGTTGTTTCAATCCAAATTTGGGTCAAATATGGACAAACCCAAATGTTGGGTTAAAAATGCAATGAAAAAATTTACAGTTGAAAGTGAAAGTTGAAGTTGGGTTAAAATTTGAAATTACATTTTTAACCCAACATTTGGGTTTGTCCATATTTTACCCAAATTTGGGTTAAAACAACCCAGCATTGGTTAGAGTGTACACACTACCCCTAAACCTTCCTATCACACAAAACTTTCTGCATTTTTACATTTTCAAAAAACATCACTTAGTATGATTTATAATCTGTTTTCCTCATGGGGACCAAAAACTGTCCCCACAAGGACAATGATTTTTAGATATTTCCATCTTTGACATCTTTGAGGGGACAGTTTGTAACCATAGTGTAGGGTTTACCAGGCCACACACACACACAGAGAGAGAGAGACACACACAGACACACACACACACACACACACACACACACACACACACACACACACACACACACACACACACACACACACAGCTGTTGACTGTCTAATGGCAGTCAGTGTAAATAATCAATGTAAATGTCGAGAAAACATATTAAAGAGATAAAACACATCACTGTTCATTAAACTGTGGCTATGATGTCATAATGTCTGATAGAGCAGCTACTGGTTTCCAAACAAGATGTAACAAAGCGAGAGAGTTGTCATAGTTACAGCTGGAGCTAAAATATTCGGTCTAGGACAAGGACAAGGTCAAACTGATGCACTATATGCTGGAAGTCAAAGGTGAAGGGTGAATCTCACACACATATAATAAATATTATCTTTATAGTTCAGTTTGTACAATAAGGCAGACACATGACTCTAGGTCATTGAATTAAAAAAAAACATGATGTGAAATTAGTGTTGACTAATTCAAATAGATCCTTAAACATTCTATTTAATTACATGCCCGGCTTCAGCTCCAACATATAAGAAAGTTACACACCTCACCTTTAAGTAATAAGAATAACAACATATACCAGTCTGACTTTTAGCCAATCAGCAAGAACTACCGGGTGACTGTCCAATCGCCTAATTAATATTCATGAGCAAAGTTTTTAAGTTTTCTCTCCCTAGATATTTCCTACTTCTCAAAAGGATGTCATTGTTTGAATGTGACTCTGTGCTGTAAAGCTGAGCTCCTCTAATTCCTGATCTGTAGTCTAGAGAGGGACATGTCTAAATTGCTCATCTCCTCACCTCCGGTTCACGGGCCCTCAGAGAGATGAACTTCGATTTAGAGAAGTGTGTTAGCGCCATAGAGACCGTTTCTTCATTAACGTTTGTAATCTGAAAGGACACACGGCAAACCTAATTACCCCTCTCAACTGGGCGATACTCATCTATTGACATTCTGAACTCATTTCCCCGGGAAATTAAAATGGAAAGGGCGCGGGAGAGATTGCGTCCAGGTGTGGCATTTTCCGGGGGAGCCATATTCCCCCGGTGGCCCGTCTGTTTCCCCGTCTTTAATTAAAATGATATTTAGACGACGGAGTTTTGTGTTTGTTCAGTTAATGAACCAAGTCTATTCTCCGTGGGAGGAAAAAGAGAATATAAGAAAGCTCATTAGAATATGTTAGCATTTGCTGTGTTTACTCGGTGCATGAGAGAGTGGCCTGGGTCATTTTTTCCTTCTTCTTTGTGCTGAGAAATGTTATGCAACTATGTAAAGATAAGTGTTAAGAATGAATTAAAACAATAGAGCTGTTCGGTTTGTAGCCATAAAATCTGGAAGAGAATTGGCATTTTTTAACTAACTGGGTTCCCTCTGGAATTTACTGTAGTTTTTTTTTTTTACTTTCATGTTTTGTTCTACAAAATAAACTAGGGCTGTCAAATGATTAATCGCGATTAATCGCATCCAAAATAAAAGTTTGTGTTTACATAATATATGTGGGTGCACTGTGTATAATTATTTTGTATATATATAAATACACACACATGCATGTATATTTAAGAAAAAATTTTATTTATATATAAAATATTTATATTTATATATAATAAAAATTATGTATAAATCTATATACAGTATATACATGAAAATATTTCTTAAATATATACAAGCATGTGTGTGTATTTATATATATAAAATAATTATACACAGTGCAGCCACATATATTATGTAAACACAAACTTTTATTTTGGATGCGATTAATCGCGATTAATCATTTGACAGCCCTAAAATAAACACATGGTCTACACATCAAATGGGAATTTGGAAGCACATTTGCTTCTTTAAAAACATAAGTTAGGTATGTTAGCACTTTTTAAAGCATATTTTTAAAGTAATGTTATCCACAGACCTCTTTTTACCCACAACCTTTGAAAAAGGCTGAACATAAAATAAATATATTCCTCATTAAAGTTTAGAACATAAATCTGAACACTGAAAATATCTGTAGTAGTAATGTAATTTGTGGTTTTTAAAAAGGAATTATAATGCCCCTTTTTAAGATGTAATATAAGTCTCAGGTGTCCCCAAAATGTGTCTGTGAAGTTTCAGCTCAAAATACCCCACATATCATGTATTATACCATGTTGTAAATGCCCATTTCTGAGCGGAAGGAAAAACATGATGTTTTCGTGCATGTGTCTTTAAATGCAAATGAGCTGCTGCTCCCCGCCCACTTTCCAGCAGAGGGCGGAGCCTCTTGTAGCTCGTGCCTCGGATACTCTGCCAAAACACTGCTATATATGCTGTTAATAGGAATCAATCAACAAAAGAAAAACAGAAAATCCTCGACTACTCTTGATTGAATAACTTCAGTAGCTTTAATAAGAATACATTTCTTACTTGAATGCTGCTGTTTAATGCTCTGGTGAGGAAATAAACATGGCGGACTGTGTACAGCTCACTCAGGGGCGGGTCTATGCTAATAGGGCAGGGTCAGTCAGCAGTCGTGGGCGGGGCCTGTGCAATGTGACGTCAATTTTGGAAAAATAGGTCCTCTTTAACATCTATAATGTAAACAGGCTGTAAATCTGGATTAAAAATGTAGCACATTTCTAATATGAAACTGGATGCCACTCCCATGCAAAGTGATATGGTCATGTGACAGTCAACTTACCTTTTGAAACATTTATTGATACATATTGCATACTGTCTCACTATGAGTAGTATACAGTGCATATTGAGCAGTATTTAGTGAAGATTAGTTAGTAGTGTTCCATTTCCAACATACTATATATTTCTTATAAAATATGAATTACTACACAGCAGATTTATTTCAGAAAAAAATATTTAATTCTCATATTTTTATGTACATATTTGGAATGAATGGACTTTCTCACACTGTTCTCTTGTATGAGGCAGTAATGTGTGTCTAAATGCAGATCCAGTCATTCGTACGCGAGTAATCACATTAAATAGATTAATTTCATTTGGTGAGCATCCACTTTCTCCTGGCCCACAATTCAGCCACATCATGACCACTGTGTTGATTTATACGCTCACGCCGTGTGCAAAAGGTGTGTAATAATCACATTTTGGCTGAAATGATTGTCAAAGTAATAACAATAGGACAATATAAAAATAATAATGATATTCAGTCTTGCATTAAATCTCAGGCCAGGCCTCTCAATGGTATTGACCTTTGACCTCTAGGCCTGAGCTAGCCAAGCAGATGCAATTAAAAGTAATAATAATAATAACAACAGATTACGTTTTATTCTTTCCCTCATATTACAGGACAAGCGAGTTTCTTAGCTTCAGTGGGATCATAAGAGCCTGCTGCTCGTCTCTCTGTGAGATGTACAGTCATATTCAAGTTCCTTTAAATATCTGTTTATTGTCACTATCCTATCCTCTGTAGTCAAGTAAAATGGGCCCATATGACAGGACATATGCCCTATCCAGAGAACGTTCTCAGAACTTTGGCTAACGTTCTGGCAAGTTATGAACAAACGTTCTTCCAGTAATATGATGTACCACTAACACACACAATGTGAGTGAAAAGTGCACCTTAAAGTGAGTGTGAGTACAGAGGTGACACACAGAACCATCATAGCGTCACAGTGACATCATAGATATTTGGTTCCCTGCCTGTCACATGACAAGCAGTCTGACTTAGACAGGAAGAAACTGGCCACATCTAAAGCAACTGACCTCTGTTTTTTATTTTTACGTTCCATTTAGGGGTGAGCTAATCTGAAATAGAGTGTAACAGTCGGGTTCTGGAAGTAAAAATACCATTCATTTTCCCTATAGGGGAACTTATTTTTAATGATAACTTATAAACCTTTAAAGACAGACCTACTGTGAGCGACTAGGTTGTAAATCAATGGTATGTTTTTGTATAGCCATCATAACATTATTTTGACTTATTTTTGAAATGATTGTGTTCAACAGCAGAAGTCCTGGTGAAAAACTACATTACCCATGAATCTCCACCAATCAGAAAATCGCAACAAGCAAATCACAGAAAAACAACTGCCCAATCTCATTAAGCATATAGCAAATTGCATAACAAAGTCAATCTCTATATGCTCTCAAACTACTATAAAAGTTTATATATAATAGTTTTACTATTCAAATCATTTAATTCAATGATGGCATCCGTAATGCTTCAAGGGATTGTAGTTCTTTCTCTTCAAATCAAAGTTTGTGAGGTTATGATTGTGACTGTTTTTTTCTTTAAGATCTTATATGGGAAAAATACTTCTGGAACCAACGCCACTGAAAAGGTGGGCAGCACTGTTGCACTATACATCTCTGCAAATGGAAACCAGAAGAAACTAGGAGGGAGGTATTTTAAAAACTTCACAGACAGAAAACAAAGTGAACTATACAGTTCCACTTCTGAATACCTCTAAACAGCTTTCAAAGATGTGAAATGGCAAATCCAGAGATCGTAATACCCACCTGGTATCATTTAAAAACAATTTTGTTCCCAGGTCGGCTAACGCAAACCTGTACACCCCGATGGATGGGATTTGCATTGCATGTGCAGTATGCATCAGATGGTCATTGAGTGGACTGTGGCGAGCCATCTGAGGCGGAGACTACATGATGAGTGCTATATGCTTTGGTAATAATAAGTCACTCTTTTTGTCCTTTTTCTTGTTTTATTCGTTGTATAAGTCATTGTTGATGACATCCGCCCCCGTGTCGTCACACGGGTCATAGCTGCTGGGAGAGATGAACCTGCGTTTCTTGCCGAAGGTGGAGAATGAGTTGTGGAGGTCGAGCTCGCTGCGGTAGACGGGCCTCAGGGTGCAGAAGCCGGAGGGTGTCCCGGGGATGTAGACGTTGTGCTGGTAGTCCGGCGGAGGGTGCGGGTGCGTGTGGGTCTGTGCCGCGGGCTGCTGCTGCTGCTGCTGGTGCTGCTGGTGATGGGGGGGGTTGTGTGGGGGGGTGTAGTGAGGCGTCCATGCCCTCTGAGAAACCCCACCTGCTGGAGAATGCATCCGGTACTCTGGATGGTTAAAAAAGAAACACTACTTACATTGCCGGTCAAACGTTTGGAGTACTGTTTTTGAAAGAGGTCTCTTCTGCTCACCAAGGCTGCATAAGTTTGCAGTTTGCAAACTTAAAGTTTGCATAAGCGAGAGAGAGGCGGGGATACTAGCATGCATATCTTTGAAAACAGTATGTGAAACTGCATGCAGTATGCAATACATATTTTACATATGCAATATAACAAAATGTGTAGCAAATTTTTTTAATGTTAATAAAAAACTATACACAGTAACAATATAGTTTTGCAACAATATAGGCCTAGTGCAAAAACTGTATAACAATAAATATTTTAACCAGTACGCTACAATACATGTCCTCATTATGTTGCATGTCCAGTCATCATTTTAGAATCTAGTTATTTTCTTATTTTAATACAATAGGGTAAGAATGTGTCGAATTACAATAAAAACTCAAGGATATCACAGTTGGTTAAGACTACTTTGAATGGTTTACTAATTAATGCTGGCTCGATACTGCACAGTTTATACTGCATACTGCCTATTAAAAATTATAAATGAATTATAAATGAATGAATAAACGAATAAGGCATTTATATAGCGCATTACTACTGTTACACCCGAAACGCATTTCAATCATACCCCTCAACCACCACCAGTGTGCAGCATCCACTTTTTTATTATATTTTATATTTTGCATAATTACATGCAACTAACCCTAAACCTGTATGTAAGTACATACAGCTAATTGATATTACTTAAGTAGCCTGCAAGGCTGCAAAAGTTTTTTAATTTGATTTAAAAAAATACAGTAAAAACAGGAATATTGTGAAATATTATTACAATTTAAACTGTTTTCTATCGTAGTATATTGTCAAATGTAATTTATTCCTGTGATCAAAGCTGGATTTTCAGCATCATTACTCCAGTCTTCAGTGTCACATGATCCTTCAGAAATCATTCTAATATGAGGATTTGCTGCTCAAGAAACATTTCTTCTTATTATAAACATTGCTTCATATTTTTGTGAAAAATGGGATACACTACCATTCAAAAGTTTGGGGTAAGAAATTAACACTTTTATTCAGCAACTATGCATTAAATTGATCAGTAAATGTTACAAAAGATTTCTATTTCAAATAAATGCTGTTTTTTTGAACTTTCTATTCATCAAAGAATCCTGAAAAAAAATATTAATAAAAAAAACATTGATAATAATAGAAACTATTATTAATAATTGAGAACCAATAGTAATTGGTGATAATTAAGCAGCAAATCAACATATTGGAATGATTTGTAATCACGTGACACTGAAGATTGAAGAAATGATGCTGAAAATCCAGCTTTGCATGGATTTAAATAATACAAAACTAGCTATTTTAAATTGTAATAATATTTTACAAACTCACTGTTTGTAAACTTACCCACTTACTGACTTTTTTTAAAATGCTGTAGTGTAAATTAGAGATTTAGAAACTAGAGATTCCCAAACATCTACACCAGAGCCCAATGACATGCAAAGTGCTGTTTTACCTAATTCACTGGCTTTCATGAAAGCAATACCATAAGTAGTTCCTGCCCTATTTACACATTGAATATCCTATTTTTAATGTCAGATCATTTCATTCCTGTTTAAAAAACAAACAAAAAAAACATGCAAGTGTCTTAAACTCAGAAATCCCTGAATAATATATTCCTCACTAATGCACAGAAATAAAACAGATTCAAAGTTTGGAACTTGAATCTGATTCATGGATCACATAGTGAAAATGGTAGTAATGTCTCCTGTGGTTTTGACTCACTAACTGTTTCATATTGACTACTAAATGCATAAATGACTATACACAGGATCAGATAATGTAACGTATACAGTATAGCTGTACCTTTGGAGCGTGTTCCCCAGGTCCAGTACTGTCCGGCAGCCATTTGACCCACATAATTCTCTGGTTCGGCCTGCATGGCTTTACGCATCAGAGTGCCATCCATGTTCACAGAGTTACAACTGCAAACACATGAAGAGAAATCAGGCCAAACGGAGATGTAATGAGATATTGTGATACTCCTGAACATGTAGTAAACAAATCCATGCATAAAATAATAGTGTCTGCTTGCACTCTCTGAATGAAAAAATTCTGAATTATGTCTTCAACAAGAAAAAAACATGTTTTAATACATGTTTTATTTTCTAAAATGCAAAAGAGTTATTTTTTGAGGGTTTGACTGCTTGTTTACATTTATGCATTGCTAAATTGTTTGAGCTATAGGAACACTTAGGGTTAGTCTGAAGTAGAACAGTTTGTATTATGATTTGCTTTTATTAACTTTATATAAAAATCAATAGAAGTCTATGGTGTATCCCCATTTAGAAACAAGAAAACGTGAGTTTTACCTTTTCAGAGAGGAGGTTTGATTTTTGGTGAGGGCCCAGTCAGTGTTTGCTTGTTTCAGCTGCAACACACAGAACAATCATATCTGAGAATAATGAATGATTACATATATATGATGAACCGGTCCACCATAGTTCCGTAACCCTATAAAAATCGAATTTGTAAATAACACAAAGATTATTGATATTTTACAAGAAAATACTATTTCAGTCTTTCTCTCTGAGTGAAAATAGTTTCTACACCTATTTTTTGTTCAGTGTATATAATTGCTACAGATGTTCAGCAGGCACTGTTAAAGATATTCCTCAAGCTTGAAAGGGATTTTTAATGCCTCCTTGTGGCCAAAAGTGTGACTTGCACGTCATTTCTTTCAGAACTGTGGTGCCTTGAGCAATGACTGTAGTGTATCGGTCTTCTTTCATCCTCAGAGACGCGGCGGGGGTGGAGGAAGAGGAGGAGGAAGAGGAGGAGGAGGAGGAAGAGGAGGAGAATGGGGGTGTTATTTATTCCATGTCAGAGAGAGAGAGAGAGAGAGAGAGAGAGAGAGAGAGAGAGAGAGAGAGAGAGAGAGAGAGAGAGAGAGAGAGAGAGAGAGAGAGAGAGAGAGAGAGAAAGAAAGTATGGATTCCACGCTCTATTAATTCGCTTAGAGACTTTCATAAGGAGAGCGCCATGTAAGCTTATTATTAGAACGGTTCTTCAAAATACCTTCCGTGGATAATTAGAGCACCGACATACGATTTTAATCTTCAAAGGAAACCGCAGCGGGCAGGAAATTAATTTCGAAAACGCATTTAACTGTCCGACGAATTCAATTTAATTTAATTTCTTGTTTTATTTTAGAAACTCCCGTGCGTTTGCATTTTCCGCTGCAGCTCTGGTGAATTTATAAGGATTTTTCAGCTTTAATATATTCCCAGATGAATTAAGATCTGCCCAATAGCTCTGAGTGAACACAATCTGTTTGAGCTTTTCTTTTTATACCCTCAAGGGCAGAATTTGTCCTAAATGTGTTGGCCAGTGACCTGCCCAGTAATACCATATAAAAGATGCTTTCATGAATAGCCTATTCTATTTGAGACCTTAAGTCCACAGATTCCATGGACACCATAGATTGTAATTCTCTCAATGGACGAGTTTTGTTCTTCACAAGCTATATGAACTTCACTGACCCAAGGCAAGGTGGCACCTGTCTCTCCAACAGGTCACCCTGACAATTGAATAATAACTGAGGTGAGCACGTTTACGTTTTACAGCCTGACGATTCCACCTAGTGGATATTAACAGAACACACTTTTTGGTACTCATTCTATGAGGGCAAAGTGGCAGAATCTACAGGCGCGACACGTCTCCATCGGCTCCTGCTCGCTCCCTAATGCTTTCATTTCCCAGCCCCATTATGGAAGAAACCAGTCCGCGTCCGTGTGCCATTGTGTACTGGATAATTAGCTTGTAGTGTGTGTGTGTGTGTGTGTGTGTGTGTGTGTGTGTGTGTGTGTGTGTGTGTGTGTGTGTGTGTGTGTGTGTGTGTGTGTGTGTGTGTGTGTGTGTGTGTGTGTGTGTGTGTGTGTGTGCGCGCGCGCGCCCTTGACATATAGTAGACAAGATTTAGAACAAGTATAGCTGACCGCATTCAAATAAATAATAAAAAGAATAATGCTCTTTTTGTGTACATTTCTAAAAGTCGTTACACGACATTTTTAAAAGATTTGTACATAGGCCTCTCTCTTTTAGAAATGTATATATATATATATATATACAGAGAGAGAGAGAGAGAGAGAGAGAGAGAGAGAGAGAGAGAGAGAGAGAGAGAGAGAGAGAGAGAGAGAGAGAGAGAGAGAGAGAGAGAGAGAGAGAGAGAGAGAGAGAGAGAGAGAGATCACAAACAAAGGAAGAACTGGAGAGAGTGCTAAAAGACGTGCATTGTCCTCGATTTCACTAGAAGATGCTGCTGTCTAGAAACGCTCGTTCACTGTCAATCAAGGTCATTGATTGACTTTAGAGCTATTAAATATTTATTGCCCTCCAGTTTTTTCTTCTGTGTATTTATAGATAATCGATAGCCAATTAATCTCGTTCACAAATACATAATTTACACTTCTGTGCACAAATGATGCCCTTCACGAAAGTGACTCAACAACTGACATCTCAATGAACATGTGGATGTTAAATATATATAGAGAGAGAGGGTAGTTTTACCTCGTTCGGTGTAGTCGCCCCGTTGTTCACGGATGAGCAGCGGCTCTGTGAGCTCAGCGCCAGGTTATCCGCTCCTCTCGCCGCGTTATTTCTCGGTGTGCCGGGACTGCAAGGCTTGAGAAACATAAAGTCGCTCTTTGCAGATTCGGGCGTTAAACACACTTTGTAACAGTACGCTTGAGAGAGATTTCCAGGATTGCTGTTTACCTCCACGCAGTTCGTGGGCACTTTGGCGCCGGTGGAGATCTGCAGGTTGAGATTGGACTTTTTGAACACCTCGGCGGGCGGCTCCGGTTCGAAGCTGCAGCACGCGGCACCGAGCGAGGACAGCGCGTAGCCGCCGAGGGAGTCGTGGTCCTTATAGCATTTCACGGCCGCCAAAACGATGATGGCCACGAGGAAGATGAGCGAGACGGTGCTCAGTGACACGATTAAATAGAGCGCGAGGTTAGACGGGGGCTGAGGGCTGAGCGAGAGGTCACCGAAATCTGACAGCGACTCCGGCACGCTGTCCACCACCGAGAGAATGATGGTCACGGTGGCCGAGAGCGGCGGCTGCCCGTTGTCCTTGACGAGTATGACGAGTCTTTGCCTAATGGCATCTTTGTCCACGAAGCGGCGGATCGTCCGGATCTCCCCGGTGTACAGAGCCACGCTGAACAGCCCGGGATCTGTCGCCTGCAGCACCTGATATGACAGGCGAGAGTTTTGCCCCGCGTCCGCGTCGAGTGCCGTGATTTTAGCCACAAGGTATCCAGCATCCACCGATCTGGGCACCATCTCAGTGGCCACGGTGCCGTTTCTCGGCAGTGGTGACAGGATGACCGGTGCGTTGTCGTTCTGATCCAGAACAAAAACATTGACGGTCACGTTGCTGCTGAGCGGCGGGAAACCGGCGTCCTGCGCCTGCACGCGGATCTGAAAGTTCCGGAGCTGCTCGTAATCGAAAGAGCGCAGCGCGTAGATGTTGCCGTTATCGGAATTGATGGAGACATAAGTTGACACGGGCATGCCCTGAATTTGACCCTCCAGGATGGAGTAGGACAAATACGCGTTCTGATTAGAGTCCGGATCGAATGCGGTCACCGAGCAAATGGAAGCGCCCGGGGCGTTATTTTCGGTCACATACACAGTGTATGAGGGCTGAATGAAGCGCGGCGGGTTGTCGTTAATGTCAGACACTTGAACCAGAATCGTCTTTCTGGTGGACAGCGGCGGCGAGCCCAGATCGCGAGCCGTGAGGGTGATGTTATACTCCGAGACAGACTCTCTGTCGAGAAACTCGCTAGTCACAAGTGTGTAATAGTTTTTAAAAGAGGAGTGCAGCTGGAACGGCACATTTCCGGGGATCTGGCAATCCACAGCTCCGTTCTCTCCGGAGTCGCGGTCCATTACGCTGATCACAGCTATCACTGTGCCCGGCGGCGCGTCCTCCTGAACAGGTGTTGACACAGAGGTTAATATGACCTCAGGCGCATTGTCGTTCACGTCCAGAATATCAACCAGCACTTTACAGTGCACGGCCACGGCGGAGGGACCCTTGTCTTTCGCCTGCACGTAGAGCTCGTACACGCTGGCCCTCTCATAGTCCACGATTCCCTTCACCCGAATCTCACCCGAGTGAGAGTCCACGCTAAACAACTCCCGCACCTTCAGAGGCGCGTGCCCACTGAACGAATAGGTGATATCGCCGTTTGCGCCTTCGTCCAGGTCCGTGGCGTTCAGTTTGAGCACAAGCGTCCCCCTCGGTGCGTTCTCCACCAAGCTGACCCGGTATACGGAGCGGTCGAACACGGGTACGTTGTCATTCGCGTCCAGCACAGTTACCATGATCTGAGCCGTGCCAGAGCGCAACGGGGAACCACCGTCCACGGCCGTGAGCACCATCTCGTGCGTCTTCTGCTGCTCCCGGTCCAATGGAGACTGCAGAACGAGTTCGGCGAACTTGCTGCCATCGTTACGGGTCTGAATGTCCAGCAGGAAGTGTTGATTGGCGCTCAGTAAGTACGAGCGGAGAGAGTTTGAGCCCACGTCAAGATCCTGCGCGCTCTCGAGAGGGAACCGGGAGCCAGGCGCAGCAGACTCCGTGATCTCCAGATTAAACTCGCTCCACGGAAAACTGGGAGCGTTATCATTCACATCCAAGATCTCCACCTCTACCCTGTACAGTTCCAACGGGTTCTCAATAACCACCTGCAAGTGCAAGAAACAAACGGGACTTTGTTCACAGAGCTCCTCTCTGTCAATCTTCTCATTCACAAACAAAATCCCGTTCTCCAAATTCACCTCTAAATATTGTTTTCTTGCCCCAGAAACAATCCGGAATCTCCGGGAAGACAATTTGGCCACGTCCAAACCCAAGTCCTCTGCTATATTTCCAACGAAAGCCCCGTGCTCCAACTCCTCGGGAATTGAATAGCGAATCTGCGCCAAAACCCGGTCCAGTGCGCACGCACACAAGAACAGACAAACAACCTGCCCTGCCAACGTCCATCGCCTCCTCGGAAGCCTCCGGTCCATCTTCCTAAAATCAGATATTCTCAACTGCGTTCACAGAGAGGATTCATGTTCAGCTGTGAAAGACTCAAACAGTTTTTCTGTACACAATATGCACTTTATTTTCTAAAGTGGAATAAAAATAAATAAAAATAAAAAAAGTGCATAAGTCGATGTAAAAGAGAAAGGAAATTCGCAGCAAACTTGGAGTCTCTTGGCTTGTGCGCTTTGCGCGCAGCGCAGGCAGTGTGTGAGTAGGAGAGGCGAGCGCTTTGATTTTCCAGCGTGTTAGACGCTTTGAGGAGTGTGTGAGACGAGAGAGGGAGGTGGTGTGTGTGTGTGTGTGTGTGTGTGTGGTGCTGGGGAGGAATCGTATTGGCGGACGGCGACATGAGAGCACTGAGCATAATCACAGTACCGACACATTTAACTCGACAGTTACCGAGTGCGCGTAATCACCATGAAATAAGTGAGACAGTAATCTACGAATTAATACACTTTTTATAGGGCAGTGCAACTTTCCATATCTGAAAATCATCAGCCGTTTGTAATTCTAGTAGGCCTACGCTAGTAGTGACCTTGTTCAGTAGGGTGATAAGATGAAAGATAGATTAATTCATTCATTTATTTTGAGCCATGTGGATTTCGAACGCAACCTAAAAAAATCATTGTTATTAAATTACCAGATTATTGTTAAAGAAAAGAAAAAACCTCCCCTCCCCTTTCCATTCCTTTAAGAACGCGGTTAGGAAGAAGGCTATACATGACCCGTTAGTCTTGTAAATTCTTGTAAGCACAAGCTATATTATTACTGACATATTTTCGCATATGATCCTGCGCAACGAAACAGACTGGGTGACTTATAAGATTATGGATTGTGGAAGTTATTGTTTTGATGGGGCAAATCCGAATCGTGTCTTCTGAAAGAGTGACACATGTTCACCCAAATCTAATCTTTAATTTTCATGGATAATCCTCATGACTCTGAAACCATTTTATGCACCAGTCGATTATGCGCGCTCCCCACGAGCATCCTCAGAGCTGTTCTAATTAAGAACGCGCACGACTCTCTGTCAGACACACCGTCTATCTCTCCCTCCTAGCACACACACACACACACACACACACACACACACAATATTTGAGTTTATAGTTCATTGTAGGCACATTGAGGTGTGAGGGAAGTATACCCTGCTACAGAAAAAACAATTAAACCAGTTTTAAGGTGGTTTACTGCAAGCTGGTCAAGCCTGATTTGAAATTTTAGTGGGTTTGGGACCCTTGTCAGATATTCAGAATGGCTGACCAGAGTCAACCACCAACTAGATTGGGTCAGGTGAATGCCAAATGATCCTCCTTAGTTGAGACCAGCAAACCACGTAAACCTGTTTTTTATAGACTAAATATCAAGCCTATTCTTACATTTTCCGACATCTGACCTCTCTTGTCTCTGCAGGGAGGTGAAATCCTCCACCCAGGTTTAAATAACCGCAGAATACAATCTGCAGTCAGACTTAACCTCCAGCAGATGGTAAAGCTCCAGCAGAAATGATTACATTTGAAAAAACAGGAGTTCCTCGGCTCTCGACTTCTTTTTAATTAACGGAGAGACGGATTAGTGCTCGGCTATCCGGGATCAGCCGTTCTTCAACAGAAGAATACAAATGTTTTTGGATAAATAATCCCCGGCGCATTTCACGGTGCCCGTCACATTAACATGCATTACACGAGCCCTTAAGCGCCGTTTCATCCGCCGGCTTATTGTCCACGGGGCGCGAGAGTGCCATTACTTTCACCACAAGCTCCATTTAAACTCACTCACGGTAACCTTGCAAAAACCCCTGTCCGTCTCCGTTGAATACTTTAGTAAGAAAAGAGAGAGACGAAATGACAGAATGAGAGAGAAAGTGACATTGGCCTCCCTTTCATATATATTTTTGGAGAATAAAAAAAAAACAGAAGGACTGAAAAGGATGAGATCACATTAACAAAAGACACCAGTAGTCTAGACTCACGTGCGCGCGCACTCTTCAAAATAAAGGTTTCAAAAAGAGGCTTTTGCAGTGATGCCATAGAAGAACCAGTTTAGGGTCCCAAAAGAACCTTCCAGTGCAGAGTTCCTAAAATAAACATTTCTTCTTGGTGTGAAGAACATTTAAGGCCCAGTTTCACAGACAGGGCTTAGATTAAGTCAGGATCAGTGCTATAGTTAAGTTAGGAACTCTTCGCTTGAAGGTTCTTTCTTCCTTTTGGAACCATTGTTTTTAAGATTGATGGCAAAGATATGGAGACTCAACACTGCTGATGGGAGATTTCACCTCAATTCACTTTAAATAATATTTAAAACAAATTATAAAGAAATGTGAAGAGGCAAAAATACCAATAAATTCTGAAAAATAGGAAAACCTATGATTAAACGTTATATTTTATGATTCTTTGTGCTATTTGGATATTTGAAGCCTCATTCAAAAATGATCTTTGAGCTCCATCTGCTGTTCATCTAGGTGTGTTACAACATCCAGGTGATTATTTCCCCCCAAATATAGGTATAATATCCTTAGAATCGTATGCCTTTATGGCAACTAAAAAATATGTCTTGTCTTGCATCTTATTTCTAAATTCCAATACGTCGAATTTGTAATTAAAACGTAAAAATGTAGACTTAGGCTATGTCTTTCAAATATGCAATAGCCTACATGAAGACATAGCCTACTGAGCAGTTTTACACAGAACAAAGTTTAACCCAACGAAAAGTATTAAACAACAAACATTTAATGACAAAAGAGCAAGATATCACGGCACCAAACATAAAAGCATTGGACAGTGGCCGAGGTCCGATCTCAGGTCTGGGACCATGAGACGTCGATCCTCAAATGTGTGGTACAGTGGAAGTAGCCTAACCACTGAGCTAAACCAACGCGACGAGTGTACACTAAAACACATATAAACAGCGTATATAAACAGCAACCATTAGGGCAAGAATCAGAATAATTATGATGTAAGCAGCGTGAAGCTAAACTAGCCTATTGTTCTACATTTAGGCCTTTTTCATTCAATGGCAGGTCATGGCAAGCGGTCGTGTTTTAAATGTGTTCCTTGACAATTAGCCAAAACGTTCTCTAGATATTGCATTTAACTGCCCCTACGTGCGGCCAAAATCATTTAAAGTCAGTGAACAGAAGATTACGATTTGAACGAGATCAAATATGTAAAACGCTGGACAGGGCCCGTGGTTCGAGCTCCGGCCGCCGGTGACCCGACAGCCATGAACGGTGATTTTTGTCGAAGTAACCACTGAGCTAAACCAGCGCGGCAGAACAAGCACTGGAGAGAGATATAACCTGATCACTGAAAACACGGAAGTCCTGCACATTCACAACAGAAAACCGAAACTGCTCATTGAAGACAGCGATGCTATTACAATAAAACATCAACACCAGTCAAGACACACGGTAATAACTCAGATGGTCATATTATAAAACCTAATTGTAAACAAAACTTGTGTTTCAATACGATGAACGCTGACAGGGTGCTTGTTTACATGGTCTTAGTGCGCCATCTAGTGGACACGTGAGGATTCTACAGCTTTAGAAAGAGGAAAGTGTTCACAAACACTTCACATCAGGTTTTTACAGTTAAGAACGTTTTTTTAGTCAGCAGGGCTGCTTTTTAATTATTTTAATCCTTTTTGGTTCTTCATTATCTTGGAATAACCTAAGTCTAATTCTACAAATGCTACCATTAGTACTAATTTTAACACTCTTAGGCCTGGTTTCACAGACAGTGCTTAGATTAAATCAGGATTAGGCCTTAGTTTAATTAGGGCATTTAAGTAGCTTTTATAAACGTGACATAGAAAAACACATCACTGATGTGCATTTTTGAGACAAAACAATGACACTGATATATTTTAAGATAGGCCTATGCCATTCAGTGCAAGTTGCTTTCAGTTAAAAAGCTCAAACATGTAGTCTAAGAAGGTTTAAGCCTTGTCTGTGAAACCGGGGGTTAATGCTTAACAACACATTTTCCCTGTTGTTCTTTGACAAATTGGTCAAGCTCCATGAAACCGCAGAGAATGTTGTGAACAGGCATTTTCTTAAATACTCAATTAAGACAAAGGCTCACAGAATATATAAGCCTATTCTACATGCACTTCTTATGCATTAATAAATGCTTTTATACAAAGTGATTTAAGATATATTCATGCAATCTCGTGCATTCACAGGTCAAACCCCATGACTTGGGCATCGCAAACATTATGCTCATACAGCTTGAGCTACAGAAACAAAAAGAAAATTTTATAAATGTTAAGCATAATTTTCTTTTTCTTAAAGAAAAAAAATGGTCTTAAGAGAAACACAAATGAGTTAATTTTGACATACAATAAGAGGTGAGTTTTGAGTTCATATTGAGATCCCTGATGTTTGATTAATTTAGTATTTAATCTGAGCACAGATTGAGAGAGTTTCTCTTCTGAAAGTCTAGAGGAAAGATGTGAGATTACCGTGGTCTTTTACTGAGGAGAAACATAAGCAAGGGACTGCAGAAAAAAAAAAGTTTAATCTCATTTCCTGACATTTATGTAACAAACCCAGTGTTAACATGCAGGCTTGGTGTATAAAGAAAGACTTTAATAAATAAATCTTACCCAGAGAATATTCACTACAAATGTGAAACAGTGTGACAATTAGCATCTGTCTTATATAATAGCCTATAAGTGTTTTAATATTGTTGTCTATCTTGAAGTGTTTCTGTTTGGAATGTTTTGTGATGATCGTTGTTTACTTTCGTCTTCAACTGTGAAACAGTCATGCGCACTTTGTGTGTGTCCCGTTGATCTGTGTGTTAAAGTTAGTGTTAGTACGCTGTATGTTTGCGCTGGTGTAGCTCAGTGGTTACTTCCGATGAATGAAAAGTCAGCCTTCTCGTGGCCGCCGGGCGACCGGTGACCGGGGATCGAACCACGGGCTCTGTCCAGCGTTTTACTTTTTTTGGTGCAAGTAAAATCTTTTATATTTTTTTTTTTTTTTTTTTTACAACATTGGTTTGTTTAAATTAACAATTATTATGCATGACTAGTAACTAAAAATA